TTTGTACCTCTATGGCCTCACGTATCCGCTGAACGTGATATCCTGTCAAGTTTCTGGGGCCTCCCTTTGATCGTAGGTTATCTGGAAAACCCTCACATTACCTCTCTGAAGGCAACTTGTCACAGGCCGGCCATGAACCTTCTTAATCAACCCTTGCTCATCTTTCGTGGGAGCTGATCGTCGAACCTCCTTCACTACATACCACCCTTATTTTTATCGAAATTGATTATGGTGACCAGATCTTTTCCAGCGGTAGCATCCTCCTGCCCTACTCCTCTCTTGCCTTTAACCCCATCTCACCAAGGATTACGTTTTTGCCTTGGTGCCTTTTCGTCTCTTCCCCTGTCGAAAGCCCCTATGCAGAGCGAAACGTTCAATCCTTATCACGAGATCGCCGTGATGCCCATTGCTGACGCTCTACTGTACGCTCTCATGATCTCCGCAATCCTGCCATTTTATAGAAATGTCACTGAATTTTAGTGTAGACATTCTTTATTTGTTCAGCCGCCCATGCTTACTCACGTCCCTTCTCTCTTCGCCTTCATCGTCATCTTGGTCTTCTCTTCAACTACCACTTTCTATGTACATGTAGCATCTCAACTTCTTCCTACCCCCCGGGGAGGGGAACAGTGCTGTGCGAGTCTTGTTCTTTCTTCCCTCCCTTGCTCTGAAAGCCAACTGTTCTACGGTCGGCTTCCCGCTCTCTTTTTCTTGACACTTTCACTCTTCATGTCTCATGCCGTTGCTGTGTACCAGATGGCTCTAAGTCTTCTGACGGCGTAGGATCGCAGCAGTGTTTCCGGACAGTGTCGTGCAAGGGCATTTACAATCTTCAGTAGTATTTTAAATGCTGAATTATATGCACATACCTTACAGACTTATCCGTATTGCATCTATGCTGTGTCATCATTTGTGGTTGTCTCAGTACTCCCTTAGTGCTTTTACAGGCTATACAAAAATTTGATACACCTCACCCCTTAGTCCTCCGTAATCACAACTTTGGCTACGCCGCATCTATACAAAGCATAATGATATTGTTTTTTTTGTTGGGTCCCTGGTCAAGTTGAGTACAGGGGGCAATGAACAGGCAGACACTGCTGCGCGGTCTGCAGTACATGACCTACCAAGGTTTCTTACATAGGTATTCCATGTACGGACTATTTTGCTGTAATATCTTCCCTACCTTCACCCCGTTGGCAACAACGTTGGTCTACTATGCTCGGCAACAAACTTCGTCTAGTAAAACCGAGTGTAGGTTTAGCTGGCCTGTTCGTCCTTATCACCAGTTGTCGAGGTTGCGGAGTACTACTCTCTCCGGTCTTCGCATTGGCCATACATCGTCTTATACTATGGGATTATCTTCATGGAGAGGCGTATGGACTCCTCTATGATGAGAATTGCCCAAGCTTCCATGTATCAAAGAGTCAGCCACATTATGTTGGAGTGCCCACTTTATCAACGAGCCGCAGAATTTACCTCTGTCTTCGTCTTCGCCACGCTGCATCTCTCTTACCTTCCCTTTCGCTGATGGACCCCACCTTTCATACGGACTCTTCTTATTGATTTTGGACAACGTCCACTGACTTACTTCACACATAATTTTGCATACTTTCAGCCCTTTCTACTTGTATCTTTGCTACCTCTACCCCCGCCTACGTATCCCCTGCCGCTTGTTTTTCTGTAACCTGCTGTCATCCCCCCTCCCTCCTGCCATCCAATTCCCTTGTTCCTTCCCTACCTGCAGCGCTGTATAGACCTTGTGGCTTAGCGTCTTCTTTTTGATTATAATAATAATAATCCAGCATAGAGAGAACAAATGATTTGAAAAGGTTATTCATTGGCTCTGCATCTCTCGTTTTGAACGTTCATCATTTGATCCCATCCATCATTTTTCTTTGCTCGTCCGCGATAGACTGGCACTGTGGTGAATCCTTTGAAAGTGAGATCCTCAGACATTACTTTCCAGTCCTCTTACATTATTTTTCCCGCTTATTGTATGGCCGGGAGTCGCTCGTAGTATACTCTGTTATAGTATTTCTCCTCCAGTTTTCCCATAACGGGTAGTTGGATTTGATCCTCATTGAACTTCATATTGTTTACCGTTGCCAATGGAAACTTTGCATTCTATTTAAGTTTTGGAGGTTATCCGCAAAGTAGTCCTTAGCAGATGACATCCTACATGCGTCCTCAGGTTATCATCCGCAAAGGATGATTACGGTGCTGTGAATGTATATATCTGTCTATGTTCTGATCATGAGGATAAGGCAATAAGATGGGGTGCGAGTTAGTACTGTGCCTTGTGGAACAGAGCTCTCACTATGGCTGCCTCCGATTTAACTCTTGTTGACCACTACTCTTTGTATCTCGATTTGTTAGGAATGTTGAAGATCCATCTCCCCACTTTCCCGTTATTCCTTTAGCCGTATTTTGTTGCGCTATTACGCCCATAATCGCATTCTGTCAAATGCTTTTGCAAGTCCTGTGTATATTACATCTGTCATTCTGATTTTCTTTCAGAAGCCATCCAAAGGCCATAACATAGTGATCCAGTAGTTGTGAGAGGCAGGACGCGACCTTCCCTGACCTCCATGTTGCCCCTGGGATTGTGCACGATTTTGGGAATCCCATCATAGTGATTTGCATCCGAACTTCTTAGCACTCTTCAAAGATTTTTATGTGTGTGGACGTCAGAGCTATTGGTTATAGTTCTTAGCTAATGCTTTGCTGCCACCTCTTATGAGAGCGGGGTATATCCGTTGTTATAAGTGGACTGTGGAATTTCCACCCATGTCCAAGCTCATCTTCCATAGTGTATTAGGGCACCGCAAGAGGGGTTTCTTGCAGTTCTTAATGAAAACAGAGTTCCACGAGTCTGGGCCTTGGGCGTCCTGAGTGCATGGCAATTCATGTTGTCAATGGCTTTATCGAAATCTATGCACACGGAGTTAGGGTAATGTCTGGAATCTGGCATTAACATTATGGTTTTGAGACTCATTCATGAGAAATCATTTGAGAGTCGTCCGATAATCAGCGGATTAGCTGGTTCGACAAACACTGTCGTACTGCGGATTTCCAATATTTCACTTCAATTCACCTTGTTGTCATCTGTGTAAGTCCCATCATGTATGAGTAAGGCCCGATACTAGATGTGATATTTGCTTGTTTTTGCATATGAAAAGAAATATTTTGAATTTCTTTCAATTTCTCAACTAATAGCGTTTAAGCCTCCTCTGTCTCTCCTGGATTCCTGTAACGAGTCTCATTTAACTTAGGTTACGATAGTTTCCACTTCGATTAGGTAACAACCTGTGGTATTTTTATTACCATTTTAATGTTCAGTTTTCCATCTTCCCTGGTCAGCGCCTCCTTTGTGTATCAGTTATTCTAGCACTCCGAGGAGCTCAGTGACTCTCTATCGTCTTCTGTAGAGGGGAGCATTTCTCTCCAGTTTTACTCTGCATCTTTTCTTTCTTAGAGGGAATATTGCCTAGAGACTATGCCTTCAGCTGCCCAGAAGTTGATCCTTTCAAGGCACTGGTTTGGATCCATGCATCTTAAGATACTTCCCCAACATGTTTCCCCCCCCCCCCCCCCCCCCCCCTTTTTAGGACAGGTTTAACTAGGTCCCAGTTGGATGTTCTTTATGTCTTTGGTTGAAAGGTTGTATTTTGTGAAGACACCTTCACAGGTACATGCATTCTGCTGATCAGGACCCCTATGCATGTATGTCTGGACTTCGATTAGGTTGTGATCGGAATTAGTTGTTTTTGGTATTCTTATGTCTCTTATCAGGTCCTCATTATTTGTGAAGATAAGGTCAAGTGTGTTTTCTAGTCTTGTTGGCTCCACTATCTGCTGGCTTAAGGTGTGTTTTTCGCAGACTTAGCTCATGTGTGTGTGACCTTTCATCTGCGCTACCTCCGGGGATTGTTTCAGCTATAACATTATTTGCTACATTCTTCCATTTTGTATGCCTTAGGTTGAAATCACCCAGCAGTAAGATGTTTGGGGATGGAGCTGGAAGGTTTTCCAGACAGTAATCAATTTTCAGTAGCTGTTCCTTGAACTGTTGTGAGGTTGCATCTGGTGGCTTATATACAACCACAATGACTAGGTTTTGGTTCTCGATCTTTATTGATAGAACTTCAGCTACCTCATTTATGGTGTTCAGCAACTCCGTTCAGATGAGGGACTCTTTGACATACAGGCCAACCCCCCCTTGTTGCCTGTTCATTCTGTCGCATCTAAAAAGGTTGTAACCACTTATCCATATTTCACTGTCAAAGTGATCTTTTGTGTGAGTCTCTGTGAGGCCTGCAAACATTACATTAGACTCCTCTAGAAGTCCACTGATAAAAGGTATTTTGTTGTTGGTGGATGGTTTAAGGCCCTGTATATTAGCAAATATGAACGAGCTTGTATTCTGTTTGTTGGGGGGATTTTGTTATTGGCATTAGAAATCAAGGCCCTTCCTACCTGCACCTCTCCAATACCAAGGTCCCTCCTACCCGCACCCGTCCACTACCAATGTCCCTCCAACCTGCACCCCTCCACTACCCATGTTCCTCCTACCAGCACCCCTCCACTACCAAGGTCCCTCCTACCTGCACCCCTCCACTCCCTAGGTTCCTCCTAACCGCATCCCTCCACTACCAAGGTTCCTCCTACCCACACCCCTCCACTACCCATGTCCCCCCTACCCACACCCCTCCACTACCTATGTCCCTCCTACCCGCACCCCTCCACTACCAAGGTCCCTCCTACCTGCACCCCTCCACTCCCTAGGTCCCTCCTACCCACACCCCTCCACTACCTAGGTCCCTCCTACCCGCACCCCTCCACTACCTAGGTCCCCTTGCCAACACTTTTCCTGAACACTGGAAGAGTTTTAAGTTTGCTATTTTGTTTAATACGAAGTTGTTTACTGCTGATAAGCACTATATCAACTTCAAATTCTAATTTAAGTCATAGTAACAGGTTGTCTCTTTTCCCCGGTACAGGGACGGGCGTGATATTGAACCTCTCAGCAGCACACAGGGATCCCAAGTACTGGAAATATCCCGACAGGTTCTACCCTCAGCACTTCCTCACTCCTGAGGGCAAGGTCCTCAAGCCTGACTCTTTCCTACCTTTTGGTTTTGGTGAGTAATTCTGAGACCAATGTTTTGCCAATCAGTTTCTAGTGACTTGGCCAAAAGGCATTACATGTTTGGTGCCTACTGTTTCGCTCATGTTTCTTCCCATGTACATCATCTGTATGCTCATAGAAAGCATTATTATTATTAGTAGTAGTAGTAAAGTCGTGAGAAAGAGCTTGTTAGACATTAAGTTTATACAGGTACAAAAGCTCTCGCTTCACATGCTGAAGGTCCGGGTTCATTTCCTGGCTGGGCGGAAACATTGGGAGTGTTTCCTGACACCGGTTGCCCCTGTTCACCGATCAGTAAAACAGGTACCTGGGTGTTGTTAGTGGACTGGTGTGGGTCGCATCTTGGGACAAAACTGACCTAATTTATGGGAAATGCTCTATAGGAAATGTCAGCTATGGTATGTACACCTTGTACAAGTACTTGTAGAAATTAAGATATTATTATTATAGGGATAGGGAAGCTGTGATTTCGTGTACAAGGCAAAGAGGAATAACATCTTGTAGGAGCGAGGAAGAGCAAGTTGTGAGTGTGGGGGAAGTTTGTGAGGCAGTAGGTAAAATGAAAGGGAGTAAGGCAGCTGGGAGGGGATAAAGATAGAAATGTTAAAAGCAGGAGGGGATATAGTTTTGGAGTGGTTGGTGCTTTTATTTAATAAATGTATGGAAGAGGGTAAGGTACATAGGGATTGGCAGAGAGCATGCATAGTTCCTTTGTATAAAGACAAAGGGGACAAAAGAGAATGGAAAAATTATAGGGGAATAAATCTGTTGAGTATACCTGGTAAAGTGTATGGTAGAGTTATTATTGAAAGAATTAAGAGTAAGACAGAGTAGAATAGCAGATGAACAAGGAGGCTTAAGGAAAGGTAGGGAGTGTGTAGACCAAGTGTTTACAGTGAAACATATAGGTGAACAGTATACAGATAAGGGTAAAGAGGTTTTTGTGGCATTTATGGATTTGGAAAAGGTGTATGACACAGTGGATAGGGGGGCAATGTGGCAGATGTTGCAGATGTATGGAATAGTTGGTGGGCTACTGAAAGCATTGAAGAGTTTTTACGAGGATGGTGAGGTTCAGGTTAGAGCATGTAGAAGAGAGGGAGATTATTTCCCAGTAAAAGTAGGCCTTAGACAAGGATGTTTGATGCCACCATGGTTGTTCAATATATTTATAGATGGGGTTGTAAGAGAAGTGAATGCTAGGGTCTTGGCAAGAGGCGTGGAGTTAAAAGATAAAGAATCACACATAAAGTGGGAGTTGTCACAGTTGCTCTTTGCTGATGACACTGTGCTTTTGGGTGATTCTGAAGAGAAGTTGCAGAGATTGGTGGATGAGTTTGGTGGGGTATGTAAAAGATAAATAAAAGTGAATATAGGAAAGAGTAGGGTGATGGAGGAGGTGAATGTATGTATTCAGATATTTAGGAGTGGACGTGTCAGCAGATGGGTCCATGAAAAATGTGACTCACAGAGCTGATGAGGGGAAAAAGGTGAGTGGTGCACTTTGGAGTCTGTGGAGACAAAGAACTTTGTCCATGGAAGCAAAGAGGGAAATATGTGAGAGTATAGTTATACCAACACTCTTATCTAGGAATGAAGCATGGGTGGTGAATGTTGCAATAGAAAGGCTGGAGGCAGTGGAGATGTCATGTCTGAGGGCAATGTGTGGTGTGAATATAATGAAGAGAATTTGTAGTTTGGAAATAGGAGGTGGTGCGGGATTACCAAAACTATTATCCAGAGGGCTGAGGAGGGGGTTGTTGAGGTGTTTCAGACATGTAGAGAGGATGGAACAAAATAGAATGACTTCAAGAGTGTATAAATTTGTAGTGGAGGGAAGGTGGGATAGGGGTCAGCCTAGGAAAGTTTGGAAGGAGGGGGTAAAAGAGGATTTGTGTGAGGGGCTTGGACTTCCAGTAAGCATGCATGAACATGTTAGATAGGAGTGAATGGAAGCATGTGGTTTTTAGGACTTGATGAGCTGTTGGAGTGTGAGCAAAGTATCACTTATGAAGGGATTCAGGGAAATCGGGAGGCCAGACTTGAGTCCTGGATATGGAAGGACGGGTGTTAATGCTGAAGATTTATAACAGTAGTGTAAGTGTGCCTCTGGCAAGACAGTGATGGAGTGAATGATAATAAAATTTTTCTTTTCCGGGCCACCCTGCCTGGGTGGGAGATGGCCAATGTTTTAATAAAATAAAAACTATTATTGTGTAAATTACATACTAGAACACACAAAAGTCCAAGTAAATAACAAACAATAATGAGATTTAGTACTAAATTTATGAGGAAGAAATAATCCTGTAAGAGGACTATTATTCTCATGGGGAAGTGCTAAACTTGTAGGGGATCATGCAGTGCCTGGGTTGTGCTGGTAATGTTTGCTATAAGGAAAAGGTGGCTTTTGTTTCTTGAAACAAGAGATCCTCACTAGCAATCAAGGCACTGCCCTTGATGAGGCAATACTTGTACATCAACAGGTAAGCGTGTGTGTCTGGGAGAGTCTCTGGCTCGCCTGGAGTTGTTCTCCTTCATGACGACACTGATGCACCGCTTCTCCTGGCGCCTCTCGGATGATCCTCGGGTTTTCTCGAAGGTAAACATGATACGAATGCCGCCCTCCTACACTGTCACCGCCACCAGCAGGACGGATGACTCTACGATCACCAGGAAGGGATAAGATGCTTATGAAGGATTGTCTTCCATTCTTGGGAAAATGGGAGGTAATCCAGTTCAATCCAAGGATCAACGTTCAATTCCCTGGATCAAGAGCCCCTCACTGGCCTCAAGGAGCTTCCCTTGAGGGGGCTTCTTTACAAAATATGTCAGGTAGTAACACCAACAGTCAAAGGCAGTGTTCATGGTTGTTCATATCATTAATGCCTTTACTGTCATATTCTTAAAACTACAAACACTGTATAGATCATTAACTGGTCAACAAAATTAAATTTTAGTTAGTAAAGTTTTAAATAAATTTATCTGAACCCATTATAAATGCTAATTCCAGATCTCTTCTTATTATTTCCCAGCTCGTCCAAGTTTTATCATTTTTACCTCGAAAAGATTTCCCATGGCTTGGTTGGTACCGCATTTGCTTCACACACACCAAGAGTCTGTGGATCAATCCTCAGCATGGGTTGAAATGTTGGGCATGTATTCCCTGGAATGCAGGCGGGAGAGATACATGATTATATACACCTGGAAAATCCTAGAGGGACTAGTACCGAACTTGCACACGAAAATCACTCACTACGAAAGCAAAAGACTTGGCAGACGATGCAATATCCCCCCAATAAAAAGCAGGGGTCACTAGCACATTAAGAGACCATACAATAAGTGTCAGGGGCCCGAGACTGTTCAACTGCCTCCCAGCATACATAAGGGGGATTACCAACAGACCCCTGGTAGTCTTCAAGCTGGCACTGGACAAGCGCCTAAAGTTGGTACCTGACCAGCCGGGCTGTGGCTCGTATGTTGGTTTGCGTGCAGCCAGCAGTAACAGCCTGGTTGATCAGGCTCTGATCCACCAGGAGGCCTGGTCACAGACCGGGCCACGGGGGGCGTTGACCCCCGGAACTCTCTCCAGGTAAAAAACCCTGCTTCCCTGTTCACCTAGCAGTAAGTAGATACCTGAGCATTAGTAGGCTGGTGTGGGTGGCATCCTGGGAAACAAGACTGAAAGACCACGTGGAAATAAGACATAAAGAGTCCTCGATGACTCGCTGACTTTCTTGGGTTATCGGGGGCTAATCCTCCCCTGGGTGATTAACCCTCCCTATTTTGGGTTTTAAAAATCCCAACAAATCTTATTTCAGAATGAAATTATTTTTATAATCAAAAAGAAGCGCTAAGCCACAAGGGCTATCCCAGCATTTCAGAATGTAATAAACCACATACAGTGGACCCCCGCATAACGATCACCCCCAATGCGACCAATTATATGTGTAATTATGTAAGTTGCGTTTGTACGTGTATGTTTGGGGGTCTGAAATGGACTAATCTACTTCACAATATTCCTTATGGGAACAAATTCGATCAGTACTGGCACCTGAACATACTTCTGGAATGAAAAAATATCTTAACCGGGGGTCCACTGTAAAAGGATAACCAAACTCATACAGTTTAATACTACAATGCACATTGTAACACTTGTTAAATGCTTTGGGAACACTTAGGAAATAAATATACAAGACCTTAAAACCACTGAGTAAGTTTTTGTTTAAATTTATTTTTTTGGGTACAACATACAACAGTCGTCTGACGTCTTCATTCAAGAAAACCTTGGTAGCACTTTTTCATGCCTGAAATTTGTGATGGAAATGTTCGCACACTCTTCACTCACAGCGGAAAGATTTTTTGGGTGAAAAAAAATAATGAAGCAAATGTACAATGTAAAAAAAAATGTATTATCAAATACATGTACACCTCATCTCTATATGCTTCAAGTAGATTCTGGACGCCATCTCGCCTCAGATTTTGCAGTATTAACTTTTGGAAATTTTGCAACAAGGCATTAAAACCCTCTTGAGTTCCCCTTATCCATCACTTTAAAAAGTCCTTAAACCATTCTTAATGTGGAGAGGTGGGAGGTTTCATCAATTTGAAGTGCTAAATATCCATAGGGAAATAATACAGTGTTTTGGGGATGGGGGGGGGGGGGGAATGGAAGACATTTAGGCTTAATTCAGGGATCTGGATTAAGAGCCCCTGACCAGCATCAAGATTTGGGGGGTCTGGATCAATTAATGGAACACACTGGACACTGTTTGTTTTTGGGCCCTAGCTGCTGCTCACATCTACAATGTAATAATCTGCTCTAGCACAACGTCTGTAGGCACAGGAAACATGCTCACTAACATACTGAACACAGACACTTCATTGATGAGTTCTGCATTGAATGAATCAATGAAATTTGTAATCACAGCTTTATTTTCTTATTGTGCAGGAAAACCCGCCTTCAAGCCATTTCTAAATTAATGAAAAGATGCTGGTCAGATGCTTTGTCCTCCTGAGAGAAGTCTGTGATATCACTGCAATAAGAGAGTGGACTGTCTACTGTAAAGAAAATGCCAAATTAATATTTCATTTATGACAGTGACATACTAGAACATTCTGTCTGAGCCTCGAGACATGCTCTGCTTTTTCTTTAATGAGTGCTAGATCTCTTAAAATAATTCGACTCGTCCCGGGTAAAACTCTTCAGCACCAGTTTTCCTTCAGTTGTGTACTCAGGATTGGTTGAAGGTCCTGGATCTTCGCCAATTGCACCTTTGTCAGCCACTCACAGATGTCTCATCCCCTGCCAACACATCCCCAGGCAAGTGCCCACCAGGTACATACCATCAGGCTTACCAGCAGCAGAGCGAGAAATCAGTTTCCGAATCAGCAGCAAAACACGAGTTGCAAGAAATATGATGCCATCCTCCCAGGCACCTAGGCAGTGCTTTCACTGCCACATTGCTAATCACTGCAAAATGTTTTGTGTAAATACCACCACAAGAGGGAACATTACAGAGACTGATGTCAGAATAAAAACAAACCGGACAGATAAGATCACAAGTTCTTTAGAGATTTAATCTTTGAACAAACCAGCAGGGTCTTAGAACTGGTGAGCACACTTACACATCACCCACCCTGCTAGTCCTATCTCAGGTCAGTAGGGGGCTCTGTGCTTTATATAAGACCACAGAGATATGTCACAGTGGCTGCCCGTGTCTTACCTTACACTCCTATTTAGCCAAGCTGAACACAAACATGAGGAGCCAGTCCATCAGCATCCTGTCTGCCAACATAAGAGGCTTCATTACCAATGTTGATGAGCTCTCACACAATTTCGTGAACACTCGTCCTCCTGATGTGATCGCTGTTATCGAGACATTTCTGGGCAACGTACCTTGGGAAAACTTTGCTAGAATTGCTGGCTACACCTCACTAAAGTGACAAGACAGGCAAGGTCATGGAGGAGGCATTGATGCATGTTTTTCTAAAGTAAACACACCCTATTCACTGTCATAGCCAACTGGTAAGAGTCACAGCTCTTATCAGTGAAATTCTCAGCTAGAAAAGAAGAAAACTGGAAATGATGTTCTTCAGGCTATATACAAAACCTAGTACCTTTGTACTAGGATGTACAATATACAAACCTCAATGGTAATAAGCACCCATGATCAGCTTCCTGGTGGAAAATATGGACTCCCTTTCTGCTTCAGATAAATATCAACATTAATTTATAATTCATAGTGACCTAAAAAACCATCTTATACAGAGAGATTTTGATGAACTTCTTGCAGTATTTTACATCAAAAACTTTAGAGACTAATTATATCCCTGGCTCCTTCCTTGACCTAGTAGTGAGCGATCTATCTCAAGGCACAGGCACTCGCCAACTTCTGATTATACACCTACCATCCGACTGACGACCGAGTTCGGTTCCGAGAAACCGGTCATAAGTCGAACTTTGCTACTGAATATCAACAAAACATTTTTGTAATGACTTTATTTTATTGTTTTATTTTGGTATTTCATGTTTTACTTTACTTTTTATGTTGTTAGTACAGTGGACCCCCGCATAAACGACACCTCCGAATGCACCTATTATTAGTCTATTATGTAAGGCGTTTGTACGGTATGTTTGGGGGTCTGAATGGACTAACACTCAAATTTCCTTAATGGTAACAAATTGTCAGTACTGGCACTGAACATACATCCGGATGAAAAATATCATTAACCGTGGGTCCACAGTACTGTACTTTATACTGTAAGTTAGGATAAACACTGTGAACTACAAATAGTTGTTATTTCCCAGAAATTAGCTAAAAAACAGGTCGTAAGTCGAGTGTCGTAAGTCGAGTGGTCGTAATCAGCAGTCGAAGTCGATGTAGTATTTGCTCACGTTCAAAACTGTCCTTATGACAATGAGACAGAAACAGAATGAGGTGAAGAATTATCTCACAAAATGGCTCACTGTCTCCAAAAGGAACACTCATACTCCGAAGTGATGTTACGTGAGTTTAATGTCGTCCAACATAAATACACACCACATTGAGAGTAGGTAATGAAGTCTTCAATCAGGACACTTCCACCAAGGAAAGCCTGGTCAAACAAATCGAACAATGGAAATTGAGCGTCATCTCTGGATGGGAGGCTGGACACATATATATGAAAAACTGGCATCAGGTTTCATTAGTCTCCGAAAACCTGGTGGTCCTTGCTCATAGGTCGACTGACAAGGTTATTAAAACTGATGTAATTATTCCAGTCGCTACTAAAAATCGCATTGCATGTACTGGGGTCTCATCACATGGGTCATTCATCACTGGGTTCATACATCAACCCGGGTCATACATCCCTGGGTCATTACATCACATGGGTCATACATCAACCTGGGTCATACATCACCTGTAAATACATAAACATGGGTTTGTACATCACCTCCTTCCCATGTGCGTACATACAACACTGGGTCTGTACATCACACTGAGTCATACATCACCTGAGGTCTGTATCCATCACCTGGTCATACTTAATCCTGTGGTCTAAGTCTCACCTGGGTCTTACATCCACCTGGGTAATACTATCATCTGGGTCTCATACAACACATGGGTATTACATCACCTGTTTCATACATTCAACTGGGTCATACATCACCTGCGGTCACGTACATCACCTAGTCGCTACAATCACCTGCGGTTCGTACATCATGGAGTAGTCATCACCTGGGTATACATCAAATGGGTATTACTTTGCTCCTGGGGTCTATACATCACCTGCTGAACTTACAACACTGGGCTTGCTACATCACCTGTGAAATACAACACTGGGTCATACATCACCTGGGTCATACATCACCTGGGTCATACTCACTGGGGTCATACAACACCTTTGGTGTCATAACAAAATCCTAGGGTCATACATCACCTGCGGTCATACATCACCTAGGCGTCAACATCACCTGGGTCATTACTAGACACCAGTGGTCTTACGAACACTGGGTAATAAATCACCATGGGCTCATAATCACTGGGTCATACAAACTACCTGGGTCATTACATCATGGGTCATACAACACACCTGGGTCAATACTCACATAACACCTGGGTTATACAAACACCTGGGTAATACAACACTGGGTCCATACAACACCTGGGTTATACATCACTGGGTCATACTCATCACTGAGGTCACTACATCAACTGGGTCATATACAAAAACACCTGGGTAATACATAACACCTGGGTCATTACATCAACTTGGGCATACTCACCTGCGTGTGGTCATACAGACCACCTGGGTCATACATCACCTGGTCATACATCTCCTGGGTCATTTCATCACATGGGACTTCTGTACTCACTGAGTCGTTACATAACCTGGGTCATACACTCACTATGACATAACAACATCTGGGTCATACATCACCTGGGTTCATACATCACCTGGGTTCATACAAATAAATGGGTCTTATTTGCCTGGGTTTTCATACACTGTCGACGTACAATCACCTGCCGGTCATACATCCTGGGTCATTAATCACCGGGGTCTTACAACACCTGGGTCATACATACTGGCTACATACATACAAGGGTCGATACATCACCTGGGTCATACATCTCCTCGGTCATTCAAAACACCTGGCGTCATAACAACAACTGGGTCATACAATCACCTGGGTCTGTACATCAACCTCGGGTCATACAACAACCCTGGGTCCTACATTCACACTGGGTCATTCATCACCTGAGTTCGTCTCAGTCACCTGGGTCCGTACTTTCCCACCTGGGTCCGTTCATCACCTAGTAGCGTACATATCTGGGTCGTCATCACCTGGGTCTGTATATCACCTGGGTAGTTCATCACCTAGGGTATCGTAACCATCACCTGGGTCGTATACTTCACCTGGTGTTGTACATCACCTCTGGCGGTCGTGCCAGCACCTGTGTCGTACCAGGGCCTCGCTACATCCACCCTCGGGTCGGTGTCATCAACCCTGGGTCGTACATCACCTGGGTCGTACATACCTGCGGTCGCTGTACAATAACTCACGCTGGGTCGACATCACCTGGGTTTGTACCATCACTGGGTCATGCATCACTTGTGACATACAACACTGCGAATTATTCATCACATGGGTCATACAAAAACATACACCTAGGTCATACATCACCTGTGACAAGACTCATCTCTGGGTCTTACATCACCTGGGTCATACATACAACTGTGACATCACTTAAAAAAATCAACCTGTGACATACACACTGGATGTCATCTACACCTGGGTCATTCATCACGCCTGTGACATACATCACCACCTGGGTACATTACATCACACTGTGACATGGACTCATCTCCTGGGTCTTACTAACACCCTCGTGACATCATCATCATCATGTGACTATACACAACCTGATGACAGTACATCACCTGTGACATACTCAAAATCTGGTGATCATACATAACACTAGGTCATACATCACCTGTGATCATACACCACCTGCGGCCTATACTACCACCTGGGTCAGCTACCATCACCTGTGTCATACATTCACTGGGTTCCATCTCATAACCTGGGTCTTACATCTCTTATGGGTCATTACACACCTGTGACTATTCATCACCTCTGGGACATGACAAACTCCTGTGATTAGTCCACCATATGCATACATCACCTGGGTCATTATTTTCCTGGGTCATACATCACCTGGGTCATACTTCACTGGGGTCATACAACATCTGGGTCATTTCATCACCCTGGGTATACACATCACCATGGTCATACAACAACATGGGTCATACATCACCTGGGTCATAACATCTACCTGGGTCGTCCGTCACCGGGTCAAACATCACCTGGGTTTCATAAATCACCTGTAGATCAATGCATCTAACCCGGGTCATACAATCACTTGGGTCATCAATCACCTGGGTTGTACATCACCTGTGAGCGATATGCATCACTGGGTTATACATCTTACCCTGGGGTCATTACAAACACCTGGGTCATGCACCTCTTGTGGCAGCATTACAAACACGCTGTATACATCACCTGTGTCTTTCTTCAACCTGTGATCATTACATCACCTCATGGTCAATACATCAGACCTCGTGACATGAATCAAACTGGGTCCTAATCACCTGTGCTCATAACATCACCTGGGTCATACATCACCTAGTGGGTCATACTACACTAGTGGACATACATCACACTTGTCGACATAAACAAACAACCTGGGTTCATTCTCATCAACTGTGTCTTACATTCACCTGTGACATACACATCACCTGGGTCTACATTCACCTGGGTCATGCATCACTTTGTGGACATACAATCATGGGTTCCATACACTCAACCTGTGACATACTATACACACTGGACGGGTCATTTCTCACCTCGTGACATACAGAACACTGGGCTATATCATCACCTGGGTCATAACATCACCTGGGTCATGCATCACTTGTGTCATACAACACTGGGTTATAGCATCACCTGTGACATACATCACCCTGGTCATATCATAACCCTGTGACATACAACATACTAGGGTTATTCATCACCTGCAGGTCATACATCACCTGGGTCATTACATCACTTGTGACATACAACACTGGGTATATCATCACCTGTGACATACATTCATGGGTCATACAACAGCTGGTCATACTAACAACTGGGTCATACAACACTAGCCTCGGGTTTCATTAGACAACACCTGGGTCAAACAGACACCTGGGTCATACAACACCTGGGTCATACATTCCTGGTGTCATACAACACCTGGGTCTATAAAAACACCTGGGTCATACAACACCTGGGGTCAATACACTCCTGGGTCATACAATCTACTTGGGTCATACAACACCTGGGTTTACACACCTGTTGGTCATTACAACACCTGGTGTATGGACATCACTTGGATTTGTCATACAACTCCTGGGTATACAACACTGGTTGTGTGTTGATCGCTACTCTCCACTGGGGTCATATCAACCACCCTGGGTTATACGACACCTGGGTAATTACAACACCTGTGTCCATACATCACGTGGGTCATACAACCTGGGTCATAACAACACCTGTGTCATAAGTGTCTACCTGGGTCATACAACACCTGGGCGCACTCGATACTCTCCAACACTGGGTCATACCACACCGGAGGTCATCCTACACCTGGGCTCATAACACCCTCCCCACCTGGGTCATACAATACATGGGTAATACAAACACCTGGGTCCATTACAACACCTGGATGTTGTGACCATAGCGTGATACGCAGTCTTCTAGGGGGGTGTGTCGGGTAGTTTACAAACGCACCTGGGTTCATACAACACCTGGGTCATACATCACGCATGGGTGTCTACAACCACCTGGTCATACAACACCTGGGTCATACAATCACCTGGGTCATAAAACCTGGGGTATAAACACCTGGGTCAAACATCACCTTGTTCCACACACCCCTCACCATTTACATACACATCACCAGCTTTTACATACTCACAATGTGTGGTGGTTCATACAACACCTGGGTCAAACACATACAGCTGTTGTTTGGTGAGAGCTCGGCAGGGTGATGGCGCAGGTTGGGCTTTTGAGTGTGTGCTCTGGGTCATCGCTCACAACACCTGGGTAAGCGAAAGTGATTTTAGGCTGGAGATCGATAGGTTCGTTATTCTTTTGCATTTTTGTGGGGTCATACAACACTAGTGTCATACAACACCTGGGCATACAACAAAATGGGTCATACAACCCGTGGGTCCTTAACAACACCCTGGAGTCATACACCCCCTCCCCCACCCCCACCTCGGGTTCATATCAATACCTGGTAATACAACCACTGAGCTAATACAAACCTGGCGTCATACACAATGGGTCAATACATCACCTGGCGTATACAACCAAATGGGCGTCATACAACACCTGGGTATACATGTCCCAAATGCTGTAAATAACAACACCTGGGCTCATACAAACAATGGGCTCATACAACACATGGGTCATACAACAACCTGGGTCATACATACCATGGGCTCATACTCAACCCACCAATTTTCCACCCCCCCCCCATTTGTACAAACCAAACAGGTACCCAACACTGGCGTCATACAACACTGGGTCATACAACACTTGTGTCATCCCTCACCTGGGTTCATACAACCCTTTTACCACCCACACCCATTTACCACCCCCCCCCCCCCCCCCCCCCCCCCATTTTTTACCCAATACAATCCCCCCCCACCCCACCACTTCCCCCCCCCCCCCCCCCCCCCCCCCCCCCCCCCCCCCCCCCCCCCCCCCCCCCCCCCCCCCCCCCCCCCCCCCCCCCCCCCCCCCCCCCCCCCAACCCCCCACCCCCCCCCCCCACCCCCCCCCCCCCGCCCCCCCCCCACCTGGGTAATCCCCCCCCCCCCCCCCCCCCCATTGTCTACCAACACACGGGTCCATACATACACCCCTGGTATTACAACACCTGGGGTCATTACACACCTGGGTCATACAACCCTGGGCGCATCCCCCCCCACCAAACACCTGGGTCATAAACACCTGGGGTCTTCCATACAAACAAATGGGTCATACAACACCTGGGTCATACCCAACACCTGGGTCATACATCACCTGGTCCATAAAACCTGGGTCACATCACCTGGGCTCATACAACACCTGGGTCATACAACACCTGGGTCATACATCACCTGGGTCATACAACACCTGGGTCATACAACACCTGGGTCATACAACACCTGGGTCATACAACACCTGGGTCATACAACACCTGGGTCAACATCCTCACACTGGGTGCATAATAACACCTGGGTCATACAACACCTCGGGTCATACAACACCTGTGGTACTACACCAACCCCCCACCCCCCCACCCAATGGGACCTAACATCTCCGGGTTCATACAACACCTGGGTATTTGCATCACTTCGTGACATACAAACACTGGGTTATACATCACCTGATCAACCACTTACATCACCTTGCGCGTCATACACTTACCTGGTCATCATCACCTGGGTAATACAAACACATGGGCTCATAACTACCTGGGTCATACATCAACTGGGGTCCAACATCACCTGGGTCATACATACACCTGGGTCAATTCATCACCTGGGTCATACATCACCCTGTGGTCATACAACACTGGGTCATACAACACCTGTGACATAAATCACCTATGACATCATCACCTGGGTCATTCATCACCTGGGTCATACATCACATGGGTCAATACTACACCTGGCCGTCTTATAAACACCTGGGCTATCATTCACCTGGCGTCATCATCACATGGGTTCATACAACACCTGCGGCTATTACATCACCTGGGTCATACATCACCTGGGTCTAACAACACTGGGTCATACACACACATCGGGTCTTACATCACCCTGTACATACATCACCTGGAGTCATCACAGAACTGGGTCATTACTTCACCTGGGTATATCTCAACACCTGGGTCAACTTCACCTGTGACATACACGTCCACTGGGATCCATACATCACAGGGGTCCATACAACACCTGGGGTATACCATCACCTGCGGTCATACATACACCTGGGTCAATACAACACCTGTGGGGTCATACATCCCAAAACATGGGTATTTATCACCTGGGTCCATACAACACCTTGACATTACATCAACTGGGGACATACTCACCTATGACATACTTCCCTGGGTAATTACATTCACTGGGTCATTTACATTTTCCCCCCAAACATGTGACATTACCTCACTGGGTCATTACATCACCTGGGGCATAAACACCACTGTAATACGTCACCTGTGACATACAACACCTGGGTCCATACTTCCCACCTGTGACCTACATCACTCTGTGACATACATCACCTGGGTCATACATCACCGGGTCATGCATCACTTGTGACCATACAACAATGGTTATACAATCACTGTACATACATCACCTGGGTCATACATCACCTGTGACATCACATACACCTGGGTTTATACTTCACCTGGGTCATGCATCACTTCGCATGGACATACAACTGGTTTAATACTCACCTGTCGGCACATTCCATCACAATGGGACTTACAATCATGTGAAATACAACATATGGGTTATACTTCCACTGGGTCATACAGCACATGCGGTCATACTTCCTCTGTGACATACATCACTGGGTTATACAGCACACACATACTTGGGTCATTCATCACCTGGGTCATTACAAACACATGGGTTCATACAACACTCCTGGGTCTACAACCTGGGTCACAACAACATCCTGGGTTCATACAACACATGGGTCACTACTACTCACCTGGTGTCATACCAACACCTGGGTCATTCCTTACACCTGGGTTCATACAACTCCTGGGTCAAACCAACACCTGGGTAAGACATCACTCGGGTATAACAACCACCTGGGTCATACATATCACCGGGGTACTTACAACACCTGGGTCATACAAACTGGGTCATACAACACTGGGTCTTACATCACTTGGGTATACACACACCTGGGTCATACAACACCTGGGTCATACAAACACCTGGGTCATTCAAACACCTGGTCCATACAACACCTCTGGGTTCCTACACACCTGGGCATACAACACCTGGGCTCATACAACACCCTGGGTATACAACACCTGGGTCTTAATATTACCTGGGTCTTTCATCACTGGGTCATACAACCCTGGGTCATACATCACTGGGTCATACAACATCCATGAGGCATACATCACCCTGGGTCATACATGACACCTGAGGTCCATACACACACTGGGGTCAATCATCACCTGGGGTCATACAACACCGGTGGTCCATTACACACACTGGGTCATACAACACCTGGCGTCATTACTAACAACTGGGTCATTCACACACCTGGGTCATACATCACTCATTGGTCATACCTCTCACCTGGGACATACATCACCTGGGTCATACATTCACCCTGAGTGGCAGTACAGAACACCTTGTGTTCATACAAACCGCTGGGGATATACACAACATATGGTCATACAACACCTGGGTTGTGTGACCCCTCGCCCGTCATACAGCTGTGTGTTCAACCATAAAGTGTGTGTGTGCGCATAATACTACACACCCACTCACACTCGCAGGTCCATTACCATGCTCTAAATGGGTCATACAACACCTGGGTCATACACTCACTCCTGGGTCATACTATACCTGGGTCTTACAACACGTGGGTCATACAACACTGGCAGTCATGGTTACAACAAATGGCAGTCATACAAACACCTGGTCATACTAACAAATGGGTCATACAAAACACCTGGGTCCATACAACAAATGGGTCATACAACTCCTGGGCTACATCAAATGGGTCATAACAACACCTGGTCATACAACACCTGGCGTCATACATCACCTGGGTCATACAAATCACCTGGGTCATTACCTACACCTGGCGTCATTACAACACTTGTGGTATACATCAACCTGGGTCATACAAACACCTGGGTATACAACACCTGGGTCACATCACTACACTGACCCCCCCGCGTAATACACTCGCCTCCTCTGGGACTACAACACTCTCCGAGGTGTGTACACAAAACGGATGTGCATCTCTCAATACTCTCCTGGGGTCATACAACACCTGGGTCATCACAACTCCTGGGTCATACTACACCTGGGTTCATACAACAAAATGGCGTTCATACAACACCTGCGGTCATAAAACAAATTGGTAACATACAACATGAAATGGGTCTTACCAAAGAACCTGTGTCATACAAATCAAATGCGGTCATAAAAACACCTGGTGTATACAACACCTGGGTATACTATCACTGGGTATACAACACTGGGTCACTAACATCACTTGGGTCATTACAACACCTGGGGTAAATAAAAAACTGGCCTGTAGTCATACAAACGCACTGGGTTCATCTAAACACCTGGTCATACAACACCTGGGTCATACAACACCTGGGTCACACAAACACCCTGGGTCATACAACACCTGGGATCATACACAAACACTGGTCATACAACAAATGGGTCTTACATCACCTGGGTCATACAACACCTGGGTCATGCATCACTTGTGACATACAACACTGGGTTCATACATCAATTCCCTGTTGGACTACCTCATCACCTGCGGTATTTACATCACTTGTGACATACACAAACTGCGGTTATACCCAATCCACCTGTGACATACATCACCCCTGGTCACATACATCACTTGGGTCTTACAACAACTGGGTCATACACACCTGGGTCATGCATCACTTGTGACATACAACACTGGGTTATACATCACCTGTGACATACATCACCTGGGTCATACAACACCTGGGTCATACAACACCTGGGTCATACAACACCTGGGTCAGGGGAATCATATTCGAAGAAGGTGAGAATTGCTTCACTTTCTTGGATCAAGAGCCTTTACCTGTATCAGTATATGACTTGAAGTGTCATTAAAGCCAATCTTTTATGCACTAAATAATAACAACAAGGAGTTTTATATGAAAATAATAAAATTGTTTATTTTGTGTACATTAAATTACATTTGAATACATGCAACCTAACTGATAATTTGCAAAACTAAAACAAAAATATATATTTGCTTAATTGTTATACTAGTATACAATCTCCCCTCACACACTTCGCGAGGGTTAGGGGGATCAAGAGCCGTCGCGAATGTTGAAGAGAAAACCGTGGAATGTTTGGATGCCTTAATATATTGTAGGGCGAATACTATTACAATACTGTCTCTCCTTAACTTGTTGTATAACCATGAACAACATCGCTTAAAATACATGAAAACCGTCGTAAATTGTACTAAATATATACATGTTATCGCATTTATACGTGTGTTTAATTAATGACAGTATGTTCAATAAACATGTATGTTATTAAATACCACAGACTCCACCAATTGCCTCCACCACTCGCCTCCACACCACTGACTAACACAATGCGAGGTCCCTACTACCCTCCCTCCGACCCCCCACAACTGGCAGCCAGCCCTTCCACCACTGTGTGGTGAGTGTTTTGTTTGTTCATTATTTGCTATTAAACTACAGTATAAATAATGTAAACCCATTTATGACTGCATATTGGAATGGCTATTAGGACAGGTGTTGGAATGTGACATCATGTGTTTACTCTTGAACACAGCAAAGAATCGAACATTTCTGCTATTGCTAATAATAATAATAATAATAATAATAATAATAATAATAATAATAATAAATACGATATAATTGAAGAAGGAAATTGTACAAAAATACGAGGGAGTGGTTGACACATCGTCAGTGTGGCTTTGTTTATGCTGGAGTGAACATTAGTCTCCCTGCTCTTCCAAACATTTCACAATAATTCAGCGGTTGAGGCAGTGGTATTTAATAACATGTATGTTATAAATAATAATAGTACATGTTATTATTAATAACATGTATTATTATTAACATGTATGTTATTAAATACCATTGCCTCAATCACTGCCTCTACCACTGCAGTCACACTCAATCTACAAGCACCAAACACAATGAATTATTGTGAAATGTTTGGAAGAGCAGGGAGACTAATGTTCACTCCAGCATAAACAAAGTCACACTGACGATGTGTCAACCACTTCCTCGTATTTTTGTACAATTTCCTTCTTCAATTATATCATATTTATTATTATTACTATTGTTATCATTAGCTGTAGCAGAAATGTTTAATTCTTTGCAGTGTTCAAGAGTAAACACATGATGTCACCGTCCAATACCTGTCCGAATAGCCATTCCAATATGCAGTCATGAATGGGTTTACATTATTTATACTGTAGTTTACTAGCAAATAATGAACAAACAAAACACTCACCACACACTGGTGGGAGGGCTGGCTGCTAGTTGCGTGGGTCGGAGGGAGGGTAGTAGGGACTCGCAGGTGGCGGGAAACTTAAATATGATTTGGCGGCTGGGAATTTGGCGGCTGGGAATTTGGTGGCTGGGAATTTGGCGGTTGGGAATTCGCGAATGTGTGAAGCCTGTGAAAGTTGAAAACGTGAATGTTGAGGAAGACCTGTATACAATGGTATATGAATGCACTCTGAATACATCCTAAATACATTATGTTTTTTTTTTCAAATTGTATTTTATACACATAATAAATTTGCAATTAAAAATTTGAATGTTTTCAGTAATTTAGCTGAATGACCCTTCAAGGTTTAGCATTTTTTTAAACTAATAAAAATCTTTATAAAATCAGCTGGTGATGCATGGTAAGCATTCTCCATCAATCCCAGAAGTAACTGATGGTTAATGTGCCATACAATCATATTTTAATACATCGACCAAAGCCCAGTAAGGTAGGGCGACTCAGAGGAAACACATTCACCATCATTCATTCTTCAGCTGTTTTGTCAAAAGTGTGCAGATACTGCAAATAAAATTATATACATTGACAAAAGGCGAGGTCAGCCTACCCTCGCCCTCTTCACTTTTTGCTCTCTTAATTTTATGCCTCTTTCTTCCAGATTTTTTCTTTTTAGATTTTTTTAATTTTCAGAGAAAAGTTTTTTCTACAATAGAGGAATTTTTGTTTTTTTGCAACAGTGCTACATAATTAAATAAGAAATTCTTCAAATATTATTACATTGCCAGACAATTTATCGTTCATGGAATAGAATCTAGAATAAGACATAAAATTATATACAAAAAACACACATAATATAAGCACAGATTAAACATAGGGATAGACTTTTGGGAGTTGCTAAGCAACACTGGTTAACACTACACTAACACAATGAGAAAATAACATTTATCATATCTAAGGACACCATCCTTGTATAACACCTACCCTTCCCTCCTTCCTAACACTCCAGATATAGAGTAGGACCCCTGTATCTGCAGGGGATACATTCCTAGGACCTGCAGTGGATACCAAAACTGTGGATAGTAGCAAACTCTATATATGTCCTATACACACCTTTTATCAAGTTTAATTGATAAATTATGCACAATAAATGGAGAATTATCACTTTTTCACTGATAGGAAGCACTTTACAGCTTCTCTTAGGATTTGAAGAACTGCCAGTTTCTCTGCTTTTGGGACCATTATTATGCAAAATTAAGAGGTATTTTTGGGCCACAGTAAACCGTGGATAACAAACCACGGATGCCGAATCAGTGGATACTGGGGTTCTCTACTGTATGTACCCTCTTAGGTCCCTCTAACCCTTCCTTGGATGCCCCTACCCTTTCGTTCTTACACTCCAGATTTAAATGCCATCTTCGGTCCCTCCAACCTTTCCTAGCATTGTCCCAGAAAGGCTGGAGGGAATAAAAGAGGTTTTGAATACTAGGGGCATGAACATCCATCAGGTTTGTGTAAGTGTATTAGATAGGAAAGAACAAAGAAAAGTGGTTTTATAGCTTGATGTATAATTAGAATGTGAGCAAAGTAGCACTTATGAAGGGATTGAGGAAAACCAGTTGGGAGTTAACCCTGGAGGTGGGAAGTACAGTGTCTACACTCCATAGGAAGGGAGAGGATGTTGCAGTTCAGAGGGACATCTGAACTATGTTAGAACACTTCAGGTAAAACAGGGCCAGGAGCTGTGACTCAATCACTACAACCACAACTATGTGAGTACAGGAGTCAATGATGATGATGAAATGTGTTCCCTTATTTTTTGTGCATTACAAAAATAAAAATGCAAGAAACACTTAACCTGTAAGGGTAATAAAGGTCTACATCAGCTGAAAGAAAAGAGAGTTCTATAATACAGAAAATAAGACTGAGTATTTAACTGCCATTAAAACAGAATTAAGTCTCAATTCTTGTAGAGACAAAGTAAAAACTTACATAGAGTATTTTTACTGAGGAAATTGTAAGAAGAAAAATTATTTAAGTTTTGCAAAATCTTAAATTCTCCATAATACTTTGTGGAGATATCGTTCTGACAAATATTTATAAAAATAATAAAATGATTACAAAAATCAAGGTGTTTAAAATATATCTTTCAATATTTATGTCCAAATTATTTACACCAGCCTACACTATAAAATGTAAGTGTAAGATTATTATAATCTTTTACTAGTGTAACTTTCACATAAGTAATTACTGTTCTTTTCTAATACCATTAAGTCTTAAAGGCCATTCACAAATAGTTTTCTGACTTTCTATCAATATAGTACAGGAGGTTTCCAACTTCCAAACAAGTTGTGTTCCTGGCTCTTCCACTTGAATACAAGTTGTGTTCCACTTGAATACAAGTTGAATGAATTTCATTCTTGCTGGTTCAACCAACAAAAGAATTACAATTTAATGTTTAAATTAGCAAGTAAGTTGTTTCTTGGTTCTTTCGCTTCAAAACTACTCGTGTTTCTGTTGTTTAAATTTAAGAATTTCTGGTGTTACCGGTGTTTCCACAGACAAGTAAGCTATTAGCATAGAAAACAGTACGGAAAAGTATATTCAGAGGTCTTCCAAGGAAAGTGGAGAAGAATTTTTCCTCCAGAAGGGGTTACCAGCTCCTTACTTCTGGAGGAACAAGGAGGTAGTAACTCCTGTTCAAATTACTAAATGCACAAAGAACAACTACTTTAGGAAAGCGTTTCTTCTTTTTGGGGTCATCCTGACTCGATGGGAGGCAGCCAGTGTGTTAAAGCAAATAATATTCAAAAGGACGTTTCAAAAGTGTTTGTACTGTAGCTCGGTGGATGTAAAACAAGGTTGTCATTCCTAGGTACACAGACTGAGAGCATCGCAAGATGGGTTCCCCTCTACTTTTAAACATAATCTAATTTTATTACATCAGACATAAAGCAAATGTTTATATACAACAAAAATTCTTCTACCTGCTCAATCTTCAGGATTCAACAATTTTGATCACCTTAATTCTAAAAGAAACATAATATTTATACACATTTCATTTTTTTTTAAACCAGAGAAATTTAAGAAGAATTGAAGAAATAAATTTAAAATTAATTTTAGTAAGAGGAATACCTATGTCTAAACAGAGCAAAAAATTTTTAAGGGGCATTGAAAAATTAATGAACAAATAGTAACGAGATCTTACATATTTATTTGTCAACATTATACACAGGAGTACAATATCTTGCGGTCTCACTAAAGTGTACTCTGGTCCTAATGTAAAAATTCTCATAAAAACATGGCTCTTAGCACTTCTTCAAAATCTGTTTCATTTTTAGTAGTATTTGCTATATTCTTATTCCTCCATGTAAACAAATCCAACAAAAAATGATCATATATTTCGTCAATCAACGCTATTTCAGAATTGGAAGGTGTTGCTGTTTCACTAAATACATACTTAACCCTTACATCTTTAGATTCATTACCCTGAGTTTCAAGTTGCCGGAGAGTTTGCAGTTCAATCTGAGTAGCTTCAATATTCTCGTAGAACTTGCCACCATATTGTTAGTCTGTATAACAGCTGAATTAGGTTGGTTCATTTCTTGTTGTAAGGCTAAGCCAAGAGATCTGATGCCAGAAACTTCCATGTAGCTGTTAACATATGTGAGGATAAATGTCATCTGATCTTCAAAGTTGTGAAGGAAGGCACTGAGGTTGTTAAGATCTATGGAGATTAAACTTGATTTATTGAACTTCTGCAGCTCACCACTCCTCTTGCCAGCCTACACATGGAGAAACATAATACATTATTTAATTAATACAAGTGGCAGTAAATGTAACCTTAAAATAGTAAGACAAATTCTTGTATTCTTAGTTCTCTTTAAGCCTCACAAACAAGAAAACATTATTTAAGAGGGGAAGGGGAGGGTAGCTCCAATTTTTGGGGTCAAGAGCCCTTCATCTGCATCAAATATTACTCTATTTTTTTTTATTAACACATCAGCCATTTCCCGCCAAGGTACGATGGCCTGAAAAAGAAAAACTTTCACTATCATTCACTCCATCACTGTCTTGCCAGAGGGGTGCTTTACACTACAGTTATAAAACTGCAACATTAACACCCCTCCTTCAGAGTGCAGGCACTGTACTTCCCATCTCCAGGACTCAAGTCCGGCCTGGTTTCTCTGAATCCCATCATAAATATTACCCTGCTCACTCTCCAACAGCACGTAAAGTCCTAAAAACCATTTGTCTCCATTTGCTCCTATCTAACACGCTCGCGCACACTTACTGGAAGTCCAAGCCCCTCGCACACAAGACCTCCTTTACCCCCCTCCCTCCAACCTTTCCTAGGCCGACCTCTACCCCGCCTTCCCTCCACTACGGATTTATTCATTCTCTAAGTCATTCTCTTTTGTTCCACCCTCTCTACATGTCCGAACCACCTCAACAACCTCTCCTCAGCCCTCTGGATAATAGTTTTGGTAATCCTGCACCTCCTCCTAATTTCCAAACTACGAATTCTCTGCATTATATTCACACCACACATTGCCCTCAGACATGACATCTCCACTTTCTCCAGCCTTCTCCTTGTTGCAACATTCACCACCCATGCTTCACACCCATATAAGAGCGTTGGTATAACTATACTCTCATACATTCCCCTCTTTGCTTCCATGGACAAAGTTCTTTGTCTCCACAGACTCCTCAGTGCATCACTCACCTTTTTCCCCTCATCAATTCTATGATTCACCTCATCTTTCATAGACCCATCTGCTGACACGTCCACTCCTAAATATCTGAATACATTCACCTCCATACTCTCTCCAACCTGATATTCAATCTTTCATTACTTATTTTTTTATCCTCATCACCTTACTCTTTCCTATATTCACTTTTAATTTTCTTCTTTTACATACCCTACCAAACTTATCCACCAACCTCTGCAACTTCTCTTCAGAATCTCCCAAAACCACAGTGTCATCAGCAAAGAGCAACTGTGACAACTCCCACTTTGTGTTTGATTCTTTATCTTTTAACATTGCTAGATTTAAAAAGAGAGACTTTAGTTTTTCTTTTTAGGTCACTTGCCTTGGTAGACTATGGCTAGTTAGTTTAAAAGAAAAATCAATAAATCTGCATGTGGCTATTCCCTAACAGGCCATCTAATATAAATAATAAATTGCTCAAAAAAATAAATTAAGGTAGTTTTACCAAGGATGGAGGTGCTCTCTTGTATGACTTGAGGAGCTGCCGCATCTCACTCGAGGTCGCTAAACTCTGCGGAGTCTTGCCCATTACTGTCTTGTCTTTCAATAAATCGGGCCCTGTAAATCATCATTCATGTAAAAACATATGTAGGAAATAGGCAAATATGTATGTAATATCCACCATAACTTCCTTTGTTTCTTTAAATAATTCAACAGCATTTCACTATTATTCTCTGTTTATTAACACACCGGTCATTTCCCACAGGGGCAGGGTGACCCAAAATAAAAAAAAAAAAAACTATTATCGCTCACTCAATGGTGCCCCATGGCCTGGTGGTTAAAGCTCTCGCTTCACATGGCGAGGGTTCGGGTTCGATTCCCAGCGAGGGTAGAAACATTGAGCGTGTTTCCTTACACTGGTTGTTCATGTTCACCTATCAGTAATAATAGGTACCTGGGTGTTAGTGGACTAATGTGGGCCGCATCCTGGGACAAAACTGACCTAATTTGCGGGAAATGCTCTACATAACAAGTGGCTTTCTATATAGTAGTATGTCATTGATGTCAGTTTGGCCTGTATACCTTGTACATGTACTTGTAGAAATAAAGATACGAACAGCTCAAAACTCGAACAATTATGTAAGTGCTTTTGTAAGTGTACTTTTGAGGGTCTGAAAAAGATTAATCTAATTTACATTATACCTTATGGGAACAAATTCGTTTGGTATTGGCACTCGAACAGCCTTCTGGAACGAATTAAGTTCGTATCCCGAGGTAACACTGTACATATTATTATTATTACTATCTTGCCAGAGGCATGCTGATACCACAGTTTAAAAACTGTGTTAGTTAGTTTAATATCTTTATTATGCACCCCATACCCATCCTGTGGGCGGTAGTCAAAAGATTACAGAGGTACATAATGGGTCCAGGGACTGGGCCCCAAAGTTATGATAGCTGAACTAGTTACAAAGGTAATGAACTCCAGGTAGATCTGGTCACAATCATGGCAAGTTACAAAGATAATGAATCAGCCTCACTCCTATACATGGTTACAGTCATGAACAAATTACAAAGATGAGCCATGATATGTCTACACTGGTCAAAATTTTAATGAGTTTAAAACAATTTAAGTGGGTCATACACCACACTGAGCGCGCAACATACACACACAGGGGCATGCCAGACACATAGACACAAAGGTACATATATGATACACAAGCCGCGCACCACACACACACCTGTAATGAATTTACAGCTAGCAAAGTCGGGTTTTCTATATGTGTTAATATCATGTGGATAAATATTTGTCATTTCTTGAACATATTCTGAGTAAAATTACCTAAATTCATTAATTTTAATCACCTGTAAATGACGCAGGTGTGACAATAGTCCATCTGGCAAGTTTACCATTTAGTTTGGTCTAGATTGGGGTATTTCACTCTGAATTTGGACAAGACAAAGGTACAATAGTAACAATTCACTTATATGAAAAATTCTATTTTAAAGGCACAATTTCTTTGAATTTTTTAGTTATTATGATTTTTAACCCTTATGCCCCCATACTTTGGCTGTAAGTCAGTGTTGGTCGGTATAATACCGCTAAAATCAAGCAGCTTCAATCTAGCGAGAAAAGCTAGTAGAACCTACAGTGAGAAAATGGTCTGTGTGTCAGTGTGCATTAAAAAAATAATCCTCAGCACGCAATGCTTTATAAGGAAAAAAAATCACAATGATTTGGTTAAATGCACACCTAGGTGTATTTTTGTATGTATTTATGGTTATTCGTTTCTTGGTTCATTTGAAAGAATGGAGATATATTACAGAAAAAGGGATTTTGATTGGTTTCACAATGAAAAGTATTTGAAATTGAGCTGAAATTAATGGAAATGTTCAGTTTTGCCGATGTTAGGAAAATGAACACTCACAATCAATCTCCGGGTGTAATATACATCACGAATAGGTTGACATTATTTATACATTTTGAAAATTTTCTGATAATAAATTCTATTTTTTGGTGAATAAAAATTAAATGGAACAGAGTAAATTAAGAGGGCCTGGAACATGACTAATGAGCAGATAAATTTTTTTTTGCCAGGAATGTCTGCATTGTTATTCACCCTATTGAAATGGCATCTATTGAATTTATTGGGTAGTTGAAATGGTTATTTCGGGAGTTCATTTATTGACAGAACAACGAGTTCTAGCGAAATAGTATGGTTTGGTTGACTGGAACAATGGAATTGGCTGAAAATAAGGTTCAAATGGGCAAAATCAAGCTGCATATATCAGTCGAGACCATTAACTTGCAGAGCATAATTCCACAAGTTTCCAATAAATTTCCTACTTTTGGTGTCATTACCATTGGGAAAAAGATTCTCATCCAATTTTTAAAATTTTTTTTTTAATTCTTCAACATGAGAGAAGTTTTGTGGCAGGGGTCTTGAAATTGAAATCACCTCTAAGATTTCATACTGAACTTATTAAGCCCCAGATTGAAATCCTGACTGATTTGAGACATTGATGACATATTTATTATTGTTAATACTATTATAAATGGGCTTTACCGTGGAATCTACTTTATAGACCTGGGAATATGGAGGTAATTTTTATACAAAGGATATAATAATTAACTTGTGTGGATCATAAACCTTCAGCAGTATCATGGTACAATTTTAAAGGTCAATGTATGGTAAGCTAAGCTAATATGAGCTGAAACTAAGCTTGTGCATGCTAGTAAACTATCATGATGCTAGAAACTAGTTATCATGCATGACTGCGGGGGTTGAAACTAAGTCATGCATGCTACTAAACTAAGCTCATGCTTGCTAGCAAAAACTAAGCTCATGCATAGCTAAGTATGACTCATGCATGCTAGCTAAAACTAAGCCATGCGCTAAATAAGCTGCATGCTATGCAATTAATTAGATCATATTGCTAGCTAAACTAAGCTCAATGCCTCTTATTAACAGGGCAGATGCTAGCTAAACTAAGCTATTTGTAGTAAACTAACACTGAGCAGTAAAACTAAGTCATGCATGAGCCCCCAAAAGCTATCATGCTAGCAAACTAAGCCATGCATGCTAGTCTAAACTAAACTCATGCATGCTAGCTAAACTAAGCTCATGCATGCTACTAAAAATTTGCTGCTAGCTAAACAAGCTTGATGCTAGCTAACTAAGCTATGCATGCTAGCTAAATTAAGCTCATGCATGTAGCTAACAAACTTGCGTACAAACTAACTAAGTTGGCATGCTAGCTAAACTAAGCTCATGCATGCTAGCTAAACTAAGCTCATGCATGCTAGCTAAACTAAGCTCATGTATGCTAGCTAAACTAAGCTCATGCATGCTAGCTAAACTAAGCTCATGCATGCTAGCAAAACAAAGGGAAATGCTAGTTAAATGTCGTGCATGCTAGCTAAACTAAGCTCATGATCTACTAAAACTAAGTCATGCATGCTAGCTAAACTAAGCTCATGCATGCTAGCTAAACTAAGCTCATGCATGCTAGCTAAACTAAGCTCATGCATGCTAGCTAAACTAAGCTCATGCATGCTAGCTAAACTAAGCTCATGCATGCTAGCTAAACTAAGCTCATGCTGCTGCTAAACTAAGCTCATGCATGCTAGCTAAACTAAGCTCATGCATGCTAGCTAAACTAAGCTCATGCATGCTAGCTAAACTAAGCTCATGCATGCTAGCTAAACTAAGCTCATGTATGCTAGCTAATCTAATTGATGCTAGTAAACTAAGCTCATGCATGCTAGCTAAACTAAGCTCATGCATGCTAGCTAAACTAAGCTCATGCATGCTAGTTAAACTAAGCTCATGCATGCTAGCTAAACTATGCTCAAACAAGAAGTAGTGAAGATAACTTATTACACTATAAAAATAAACTAAACACTACTACTGTTAGAATCAAATTCAAATCAACATTTTTTATTTCTTTTATACAGTACAAATATTATGTAATTTACATGTAACAAAATATTGTTCAGCACAAATAAAGCCACTAACATGGTGTGCATTTCAGGCAGACTAAATAAAGCCACTAACATGGTGTGTATTTCAGGCAATAAACAGCAACTAAGGTGTGTATTCAGGCAAACTAAATAAAGCCACTAACAGTAGGTATTTAGGCAGACTAAATAAACCTAACATGGTGTGTATTTCAGGAATAAAACCACTAACATGGTGTTCATTAGAGGCACTAAATAACCTAAACTGTTCAGTTCAGGCAGACTAATAAACCACTAACATGGTGTTCAGTTCAGGCAGCTAATAAACCTAACTGGTTTTAATTAGGCAGACTAAAAAAGCACTAACATAAAATTTACTCAGCAAAAAATAAAAAACATGGTTTTTTCAGGCAGATAAATAAAGCCAAACATGTTTATTTAGGCAGTACTTAAATAAAGCCACTAACATGGTGTGTATTTCAGGCAGACTAAATAAAGCCACTAACATGGTGTGTATTTCAGGCAGACTAAATAAAGCCACTAACATGGTGTGTATTTCAGGCAGACTAAATAAAGCCACTAACATGGTGTTCAGTTCAGGCAGACTAAATAAAGCCACTAACATGGTGTTCAGTTCAGGCAGACTAAATAAAGCCACTAACATGGTGTGCATTTCAGGCAGACTAATACTAATGCTTGAAGACGACTCAAGAACCAGACAGATTATATACAAATAACTCGCACGTAAGAGAGAGAAGCTTATGATGATATTTCAGTCTAACTTGGAAACTTACAACTCAGAGTTGGACTGAAATGTGGTTTTAATCTTCACTCTCCTATGTTTGGGTTATTTATGTATTGTTCCTGTCATGGTATTGTGCCTTTTTGTTCTTTTTAGACATAGGTTATTTAGAAGGATTTTTTAAATGTACAAAAAAGAGAGGTAGCTAAATAAACAACCGTACAATTTTAAAAGAATGCATTAATACTTCAAACTGATTCAATGATCTTCAAGTAGGATTTCTTAAACAGTTAACCACTATTAAATGTACAATAAGAAAGGCAGTGAATGAACGAAAGGTACAATTTTAAAAATATGATTTGTTTCAAATGCATGAAATGGTACTGTATACTTTTAATATGAACAATTCCTGAAGTGAATACTACATCAAGAGAGTTAGCTAATTCTAGGTCTGCTATGTTAGATAATTGAGCTCTGTCATGTAAGTATAGGAGGGCCAAATTTATACAGCAGGTTAAGTTCCAGGTTACTGCTGTAAAGTGAAATATAGCCTTTTTTCACTTTCAAATGCATATAAGAGCCTGATATTTTTTTCATCATGTTAGCAAGGCTTACTCCTCTAAGAAAAAGGAGGTAGTAGATGTAAAATAGAAAGAGACAGGCGCTCCCTTTACAGGCGACGGAAAAGAATAACAGAGCGGCTAAAAGAGGTCAATATATCTGAAATGCGTAGGGAGACACTGGTCAGAGAAATAGCAAGCATCGAACTCAAGCTAAAGGAATCTTATAGGAGTCAGGAATCGCGGGAAGAACTAAAAGCCATAAATGAAATCGAAAGAAACCCAAAGTATTTCTTCTCCTATGCCAAATCAAAGTCGAGAACAACATCCAGTATTGGGCCCCTACTTAAACAAGATAGGTCCTACACAGATGACAGCAAGGAAATGAGTGAGCTACTCAAGTCCCAATATGACTCAGCTTTTAGCAAGCCACTAACCAGACTGAGAGTCGAAGATCAAAATGAATTTTTTATGAGAGAGCCACAAAATTTGGTTAACACAAGCCTATCCGATGTTATCCTGATGCCAAATGACTTCGAACAAGCGATAAATGACATGCCCATGCACTCTGCCCCAGGGCCAGACTCATGGAACTCCGTGTTCATCAAGAACTGCAAGAAGCCCCTATACGAGCCTTTTCCATCCTATGGAGAGGGAGCATGGACATGGGGGTCGTCCCACAGTTACTAAAAAACAACAACATAGCCCCACTCCACAAAGGGGGCATAAAGCAACAGCAAAGAACTACAGACCGATAGCACTAACATCCCATATCATAAAAATCTTTGAAAGGGTCCTAAGTAGCAAGATCACCACCCATCTAGAAACCCTCAGTTATACAACCCAGGGCAACATGGGTTTAGAACAGGTCGCTCCTGTCTGTCTCAACTATTGGATCACTACGACAAGGTCCTAAATGCACTAGAAGATAAAAAGAATGCAGATGTAATATATACAGACTTTGCAAAAGCCTTCGACAAGTGTGACCATGGCGTAATAGCGCACAAAATGCGTGCTAAAGGAATAACAGAAAAGTCGGTCGATGATCTATAATTTCCTCACTAACAGAACACAGAGAGTAGTCGTCAACAGAGTAAAGTCCGAGGCAGCTACGGTGAAAAGCTCTGTTCCACAGGCACAGTACTCGCTCCCATCTTGTTCCTCATCCTCATATCCGACATAGACAAGGATGTCAGCCACAGCACCGTGTCTTCCTTTGCAGATGACACCCGAATCTGCATGACAGTGTCTTCCATTGCAGACACTGCAAGGCTCCAGGCGGACATCAACCGAATCTTTCAGTGGCTGCAGAAAACAATATGAAGTTCAACGATGAGAAATTTCAATTACTCAGATATGGTAAACACGAGGAAATTAAATCTTCATCAGAGTACAAAACAAATTCTGGCCACAAAATAGAGCGAAAACCAACGTCAAAGACTGGGAGTGATCATGTCGGAGGATCTCACCTTCAAGGACCATAACATTGTATCAATCGCATCTGCTAGAAAAATGACAGGATGGATAATGAGAACCTTCAAAACTAGGGAGGCAAGCCCATGATGACACTCTTCAGGTCACTTGTTCTATCTAGGCTGGAATATTGCTGCACACTAACAGCACCTTTCAAGGCAGGTGAAATTGCTGACCTAGAAAATGTACAGAGAACTTTCACGGCGGCATAACGGAGATAAAACACCTCAATTACTGGGAGCGTTGAGGTTCCTGAACCTGTATTCCTGGAACGCAGGCGGGAGAGATACATGATTATATACACCTGGAAAATCCTAGAGGGACTAGTACCGAACTTGCACACGAAAATCACTCACTACGAAAGCAAAAGACTTGGCAGACGATGCAACATCCCCCCAATGAAAAGCAGGGGTGTCACTAGCACATTAAGAGACCATACAATAAGTGTCAGGGGCCCGAGACTGTTCAACTGCCTCCCAGCATACATAAGGGGGATTACCAACAGACCCCTGGCAGTCTTCAAGCTGGCACTGGACAAGCACCTAAAGTCGGTTCCTGACCAGCCGGGCCGTGGCTCGTACGTTGGTTTGCGTGCAGCCAGCAGCAACAGCCTGGTTGATCAGGCTCTGATCCACCAGGAGGCCTGGTCACAGACCGGGCCGCGGGGGCGTTGACCCCCGGAACTCTCTCCAGGTAAACTCCAGCCATTTCCCACTGAGGCAGGGTGACCCAAAAAGAAAGAAAAACTCAAAAAGAAAGAAAAAACTTCCATTATCATTCAAGACTTTCACCTTCATTCATACTGATAACAAGTTTACACAACAGTACTATATATTAAGTAATAGAGTTAGGCCTAAAACATGCATATACAGTACACACATTATTGACCTTAAAATGTTTTCATCCCTAGCTTATAGTGAGTAGTGAATACATTTATTGTAGGAAGTGTGAATAAATGAAGAATGTGTATAACTGAAAACTGCTGTAAAGTGAAGCACTGTAAAGCAGGGGCCTCCTGTACTTGTTCACTAGTTTCTGCATCTCCTAGCTAAGACTCAACCCCTGTAGCCACATACAGGCTAGTACAGGGTCAGAGAAAACATGCTAAGAGTTGAGTATTACCACTATCTGTCCCTGCTCCAAACAGCTGAGTATGATACCATTAATGGCAGTACATGATACAAGAAGACAGATACTTCCTAAAGTTTAGTCTCAGTAGCTGAAAAGTTGAAATTTTACTGAAATTCTTATAAAACTTGTAATAGCTGGAATCAGATTAATTACTGGACAATACCTTTTCTGATCGGTTTCAAACTTTTAACATTATTTCTAAAATTAGCAAATAAGAAATTATAGTGTCCAATAGTAATCTTCAGCTTTGTTTAACTAAGATGAACAATCAATGAACATTTTAAATTCATGTAATGAAACACTCTCAAATTATACTATGGTGGATGAATATCTAATAATAATGGAGGTGCGAAGTACAATGCCTATATTTTAAAAGAGGGGTTTGGGATATTGGCTGTTTATAGTGACATCTAAACTGTCATATCTGGGCACCTCTGCAATAGTGAAAATATTGTATGATGGTGAAAGTGTTTCTTTTTTTTTGGGTCACCCTGGTTCAGTGGGAGATGGCCAGTGTGTTAAACAATAATAATAATAATCATAATAAAATTGTAATAATAATAAAAAATAATAACAATAATAATAATAAAACCCTCAGTGAATTCCACTAGCAAATGCAGGTGCCCAACCTAGACAGTGGTACTTAATTAATGAGTAAATATACAGGGTAAGTATAAGGTACTGCAGTGTTACCTTGATAATCAAGAAGCAACTTAGCAGTGGTAAGATGGTTGGACTCCACTGCATCGTGTAGTGGTGTTTTCATCTCTTCTCCACCCCTAGCTCGCACATTCACACTGCGTGAATTCTGGCCTGAAAATACACTTATAAAATAAGATCAACTGTGTTGTAGTGGGTAAATAAAAAAAAAATCAAGGAATTACAGAAGACTCGATTAGCTTGTATTTACTCAACGCCTTTTTTGCATAACACTCAATTAGCACAGTATAAATTTAGGGTAAGATGGCATGCAACAGAATCCTTCTCCTCTGCCTTGGGGTCAGCCTTCGGGCATATCACACTCAGTTATGTTGGTAAATAGTTTTTACATTTTCATAAGTCTCTAGAATCAGAGGATAGAGGGAGCGAGGAGGAAAGGGCCAAGGAGGGGAAGGTCAAGGTTACAGTCTATAATTGTGTGTTATCATTTTTTTTTTTATTAACACACTGGCCGATTCCCACCAAGGCAGGGTGGCCCAAAAAAGAAAAACTTTCACCATCATTCACTCCATCACTGTCTTGCCAGAAGGGTGCTTTACACTACAGTTTTTAAACTGCAACATTAACACCCCTCCTTCAGAGTGCAGGCACTGTATTTCCCATCTCCAGGACTCAAGTCCGGCCTGCCGGTTTCCCTGAACCCCTTCACAAATGTTACTTTGCTCACACTCCAACAGCACGTCAAGTATTAAAAACCATTTGTCTCCATTCACTCCTATCAAACACGCTCACGCATGCCTGCTGGAAGTCCAAGCCCCTCGCACACAAAACCTCCTTTACACCCTCCCTCCAATTCTTTCCTAGGCCGACCCCTACCCCGCCTTCCTTCCACTACAGACTGATACACTCTTGAAGTCATTCTGTTTCGCTCCATTCTCTCTACATGTCCAACCACCTCAACAACCCTTCCTCAGCCCTCTGGACAACAGTTTTGGTAATCCCGCACCTCCTCCTAACTTCCAAACTACGAATTCTCTGCATTATATTCACACACACATTGCCCTCAGACATGACATCTCCACCGCCTCCAGCCTTCTCCTTGCTGCAACATTCATCACCCATGCTTCACACCCATATAAGAGCGTTGGTAAAACTATACTCTCATACATTCCCCTCTTTGCCTCCAAGGACAAAGTTCTTTGTCTCCACAGACTCCTAAGTGCACCGCTCACCCTTTTCCCCTCATCAATTCTGTGATTCACCTCATCTTTCATAGACCCATCCGCTGACACGTCCACTCCCAAATACACGTATCTGAATACATTCACCTCCATACTCTCTCCCTCCAATCTGATATCCAATCTTTCATCACCTAATCTTTTTGTTATCCTCATAACCTTACTCTTTCCTGTATTCACTTTTAATTTTCTTCTTTTGCATACCCTACCAAATTCATCCACCAACCTCTGCAACTTCTCTTCAGAATCTCCCAAGAGCACAGTGTCATCAGCAAAGAGCAACTGTGACAACTCCCACTTTATGTGTGATTCTTCATCTTTTAACTCCACGCCTCTTGCCAAGACCCTCGCATTTACTTCTCTTACAACCCCATCTATAAATATATTAAACAACCACGGTCACATCACACATCCTTGTCTAAGGCCTACTTTTACTGGGAAATAATCTCCCTCTTTCCTACATACTCTAACTTGCACCTCACTATCCTCGTAAAAACTCTTCACTGCTTTCAGTAACCTACATCCTACACCATACACCTGCAACATCTGCCACATTGCCCCCCACCTGCCCTGTCATACGCCTTTTCCAAATCCATAAATGCCACAAAAACCTCTTTAGCCTTATCTAAATACTGTTCAATTATATGTTTCACTGTAAACACCTGGTCCACACACCCCCTACCTTTCCTAAAGCCTCCTTGTTCATCTGCTATCTTATTCTCCGTCTTATTCTTAATTCTTTCGATAATAACTCTACCATACACTTTACCAGGTATACTCAACAGACTTATCCCCCTATAATTTTTGCACTCTCTTTTGTCCCCTTTGCCTTTATACAAAGGAACTATGCATGCTCTCTGCCAATCCCTAGGTACCTTACCCTCTTCCATACATTTATTAAATAATTGCACCAATCACTCCAAAACTATATCCCCACCTGCTTTTAACATTTCTATCTTTATCCCATCAATCCCGGCTACCTTACCCCCTTTCATTCTACCTACTGCCTCACGAACTTCCCCCACACTCACAACTGGCTCTTCCTCACTCCTACAAGATGTTATTCCTCCTTACCGTATACATGAAATCACAGCTTCCCTATCTTCATCACATTTAAACAATTCCTCAAAATATTCCCTCCATCTTCCCAATATCTCTAACTCTCCATTTAATAACTCTCCTCTCCTATTTTTAACTGACAAATCCATTTGTTCTCTAGGCTTCCTTAACTTGTTAATCTCACTCCAAAACTTTTTCTTATTTTCAACAAAATTTGTTGATAACATCTCACCCACTCTCTCATTTGCTCTCTTTTTACATTGCTTCACCACTCTCTTAACCTCTCTCTTTTTCTCCATATACTCTTCCCTCCTTGCATCACTTTTACTTTGTTAAAACTTCTCATATGCTAACTTTTTCTCCCTTACTACTCTCTTTACATCATCATTCCACCAATCACTCCTCTTCCCTCCTGCACCCACTTTCCTGTAGCCACAAACTTCTGCTGAACACTCTAACACTAGATTTTTAAACCAACCCCAAACCTCTTCGACCCCATTGCCTATGCTCTCATTAGCCCATCTATCCTCCAATAGCTGTTTATATCTTACCCTAACTGCCTCCTCTTTTAGTTTATAAACCTTCACCTCTCTCTTCCCTGATGCTTCTATTCTCCTTGTATCCCATCTATCTTTTACTTTCAGTGTAGCTACAACTAAAAAGTGATCTGATATATCTGTGGCCCCTCTATAAACATGTACATCCTGAAGTCTACTCAACGTTTTTATCTACAATACAAAATCCAAACTACTGTCATTTCGCCCTACATCATTTATTATATCTTATTTTTTCCTCTTTTTCTTAAAATATGTATTACCTATAACTAAACCCCTTTCTATACAAAGTTCAATCAAAGGGCTCCCATTATCATTTACACCTGGCACCCAAACTTACCTACCACACCCTCTCTAAAAGTTTCTCCTACTTTAGCATTCAGGTCCCCTACCACAATTACTCTCTCACTTGGTTCAAAGGTTCCTATACATTCACTTAACATCTCCCAAAATCTCTCTCTCTCCTCTACATTCCTCTCTTCTCCAGGTGCATACACACTTATTATGACCCACTTTTCGCATCCAACCTTTACTTTAATCCACATAATCCTTGGCACTAGAAGCTTTCTTGGGGCCCATGGTGACTTACTAAAAACACTGGAATAATGTGAAATGTACCGAATGTATGCATTGATGCGACTGCACTGGCTGGCTCGTAAACACTGGCCCCCACGGGACAGATGAGGCGCGCTCAGGCCACATGTGGACAGGTCCCAGACGAATCACGTTGGGCGAGTTTTTTATCATTAGGCAGGGCAAAATTTTTACGTTCAAACGCTTCATTAGGCGGATTTAACGTTATGCGATGCATTCGTTAGGCAAGGGCCCACTGTATTTTGACCTCACAATGAGATCCTCTTCAGCAGTTATAAAGAAGGCTTTAAAAAGGTGAAATATTCAGCATACACATTATATTTTCATTATTTATACCTCAGAATGGATAAACTCAATTAAATTTCCATGTTTTGAATCCATTTTGAGCACCAATTTCATAAAATACAATAAAATGCAGTAACTCCTCCTTGATTTTCTCTGTAGCACTAAACTTTTAACATACATCTCTTGAAAATGTATAGTTATTGAAGACATTAGAGAAAATTCCCTCTATTAATAATGGAAATAAATGGCATAAAATATCGACACAATGGAAATATAAACACATATGCAGTATAATGTGATCCTTTATTGACAACGTTTTGCCCACACAGTGGGCTTTTTCAAGTCAAAAACAGATCTACCCCAGGTAGATCTGTTTGTGACTTGAAAAAGCCCACCGTGTGGGCGAAACGTTGTCAATAAAGGATTACATTATACTGCATATGTGTTTATATTTCTATTAATAATAAAAATGTATGCAAATTAGTATAAAACCAAGAGGAAAAATCCCTCTTACCTTTTCTACCACAGGGATACACAGTTTCCTTGGCTTCAAGTGTATCATAGTGATTATAACTGAGCAGAAGCTGGACACATTGATCAAAGCCCCGCATGGCTGCTTCATGTAAGGCTGTCCAGCCAGAGTAATCAGCTAGATTGATGTCAATACCTGGTACAGTCAGAAGGTCACGCACTCGCTCCACATCGTTCTTAATGCAGGCACGAATGAGGGGTGTCTCGCCTGTTAAAGCACATGGTAGAGATGACTATTACACATATTGACATGTTAAATAAAACTGCATCACTTATTACGTGAAATAAAACTGAACAAAACACTAATACGTAGGTAGTAGGATGGTAGACAGCAATCACCCAGGGAGGTACTACCATCCTGCCAAGTGAGTGTAAAATGGAAGCCTGTAATTGTTTTACATGATGGTAGGATTGCTGGTGTCTTTTTTCTGTCTCATAAACATGCAAGATTTCAGGTATGTTTTGCTACTTCTACTTACACCTAGGTCACACTACACATGTATATACAAGCATATGGTTTACTTTCATACTGGTTCTTGGTTTTCTTTCTTCTCTTAACTGGTTTCAATGTTCTGGGAAACAGAATTCTTTACTTCTTGTTAAAGAGCTTTTCTTTTTGGGCCACCATGTCTGGGGCAAGGGGCTTAAGGGAACCCTTTTTGATGTATAACTTATCACTTAAATTTGCATAAGACAAGAACTTGATTTTTTGGGTGCCGGCCACCCTTTGTTCGTTGGATTTACTTTCTGGTGCATTGAAATGGAGAAGTCATGAGATAAAGGCTTGAATTTTCTTTTTCTTTAGAGTTTGGTTTCATACACATTCATATTCAAGCATATATATTTACACACCCATCTGGGTTTTCTTCTATTTTCTTAATAGTTCTTATTCTTTATTTCTTCTTATCTCCATGTGGAAGTGGAACAGAATTCTTCCTACGTAAGCGATACGTGTCATAACAGGCGACTAAAATGCTGGGAGCAAGGGGCTAGTAACCTCTTCTGTATACAACACTAAATTTAAAAAGAAAACTTTGGTTTTTCTTTTTAGGTCACCTTGCCTCAGTGGGACATGGCTGGTTTAAAAAAAAAAGAAAAAAGAAAAGAAAAAGGAGACATACAATGCATTAGTAATGAGGGTAATCAGGTTTGATCCAAGAAAAGGAAATGATTATCATACAATAAGAATATATTATTACAGCATCCTTCAATAGCTCTATACCTGGAGTTTACCTGGAGAGAGTCCGGGGGTCAACACCCCCACGGCCCGGTCTGTGATCAGGCCTCCTGGTGGATCAGAGCCTGATCAACCAGGCTGTTACTGTTGGCTGCACTCAAACCAACGTACGAGCCACAGCCCGGCTGGTCAGGAACCGACTTTAGGTGCTTGTCCAGTGCCAGCTTGAAGACTGCCATATTTAAATACAATACATTAACCTTCTTAAAGTGAGTACAATCTTTATTAAAAGTGTCAATACGTATGTAAGAGCAACTATTTACTCTATGTTTAGTACAACATATTCACTAGAAGAAAACATTAACCCATACAATATTTTATTATTTCCCAAAACTACCATCAAAATGCATCAAAGTTCAGAAGATATTCAGACGTTGTACAGAACTGCAGTTTAATACAATACTTTAGTTTGCAGAACATAAATTTTGTTTTAACATGTCAGGCATTTCCCACCCAGACAGGGCGACCCAAAGACAAAAACACATTCACTAGCACTCAGTCAGTAGCTGCCTTTTACAGAGTTAAGTAGTGCAGATGCAGTCATCAGGTACTGATCCACTGAGCTGCAATATCCCCACAGCACTTGCAGCACACAGCCACTCTATTATCTAACCTCCAGAATAAAAGTCCAACTATCTACTCTTGAGTGTTAGTGCTATGCTCGCTATGAGAGTGCTGCTCAGAGGTTCAGCATCACTACTAAGATGTGACCACAAAGGTAGTGACAGAGAGCACTTTTAGGTCTCCAAAGGTCTTCTCATTGAACTAATTTCTTGTCGTAGAATCAGATACTCATGCAACATCTAGGTATCTTGATTTAAAGATGTTTCGCCATCTAGTGGTTTTATCATTAAAACACAAGGACATAATGTGAATTACAGAACTACATACAAAATATGAGGTAATCAGTCCCCCAGCTGAGGAGCTGAAATAAATTTTTGAAATTGTTTGTATGTAGGTTTGCACAATTGCTTGCTTGAAAGACTTCAGTCTCTTCTGAGTCAAGTAGCTAGGCCGGTATTTTCATTTCTTCCTGGAGTTCTCACTATTTATTTAAGCTACAATGGCTCCCTATCAAGGCAAGAATTGATTTAAACTGTTTATTAATCCTTACAGTGATTGTCATGTAGATCTATGTTATTGATGTCATGGTCCCTCACACAGATCTACATTTTGAGCACAGATCACTCAGATAAACTGTGAGTGGTAAATCTGCACCTAGACATGAGAGAATTTGTATGTGGTGGGTGTGCACAGAATAAAATCCTGTCTCATGGAGTACATAATGGGAAAAGCAAAAGTTTGGTTTAAAACAGTGATTTTGAAGTGTTTTCTAGGATGATTTTTATGGGTTTATTGGCTATGTCTTTGTATCATTTGACAGAATGGAAGACACCACTGAAATAGAGATGATTTTGAGTGGTTTCAGGACTGGAAGTAGTTTGAAATTGGGCTCAAAGTAGCAGAAATACTTGATTTTTGTAGTCTTAGCTGAAAGCTCATCTCTTTTCTAGGCTTTATATAAATTCTGTTGATTATACTGTCACTCTGGAATATAAACTTTCAATTTCAATTTATTTCAACATATGGGAAGTCTGAATGTGCATGGATGTTGTGCAAATGATAAGAAAGACATGACTGTGGATGTTATGAATGAGAAGAAACTGGATGTCCTGGCTTTAAGTGAAACAAAGCTGAAGGGGGTGGGAGAGTTTCAATGGAGAGGAATAAATGGGATTAGGTCAGGGGTTTCAAATAGAGTTAGAGCTAAAGAAGGAGTAGCAATAATGTTGAAGGATAGGCTATGGCAGGAAAAGAGGGACTACAAATGCATAAATTCAAGGATTATGTGGAGTAAAATAAGATTGGATGTGAAAAGTGGGTTATAGTAAGCGTGTATGCACCTGGAGAAGAGAGAAGTGTAGAGGAGAGAGAGAGATTCTGGGAAATGTTGAGTGAATGCGTGGGGAGTTTTGAATCAAGAGTGAGAGTAATGGTGGTTGGGGATTTCAATGCTAAAGTGGGTTAAAAATGTTATGGAGGGTAGAGTAGTAGGTAAATTTGGGGTGCCAGGGGTAAATGTAAATGGGGAGCCTTTAATTGAGCTATGTGTAGAAAGAAATTTGGTAATAAGTAATACATATTTTATGAAAAAGAGGATAAATAAATATACAAGGTACAATGTAGCACGTAATGAAAGTAGTTTGTTAGATTATGTATTGGTGGATAAAAGGTTGATGGGTAGGCTCCAGGATGTACATGTTTAATAGAGGGGCAACTGATATATCAGATCATTATTTAGTTGTAGCTACAGTTAGAGTAAGAGGTAGATGGGAAAAGAGGAAGGTGGCAACAACAAGTAAGAGGGAGGTGAAAGTGTATAAACTAAGGGAGGAGGAAGTTCGGGCGAGATATAAGCGACTATTGGCAGAAAGGTGGGCTAGTGCAAAGATGAGTAGTGGGGGGGTTGAAGAGGGTTGGAATAGTTTTTAAAAATGCAGTATTAGAATGTGGGGCAGAAGTTTGTGGTTATAGAAGGGTGGGGGCAGGAGGAAAGAGGAGTGATTGGTGGAATGATGAAGTAAAGGGTGTGATAAAAGAGAAAAAGGTAGCTTACGAGAGGTTTTTTACAAAGCAGAAGTGTTGTAAGAAGAGCAGAGTATATGGAGAGTAAAAGAAAGGTGAAGAGAGTGGTAAGAGAGTGCAAAAGGAGAGCAGATGAAAGAGTGGGAGAGGCACTGTCAAGAAATTTTAATGAAAATAAGAAAAAATTTTGGAGTGAGTTAAACAAGTTAAGAAAGCCTAGGGAAAGTATGGATTTGTCCGTTAAAAACAGAGTAGGGGAGTTAGTAGATGGGGAGAGGGAGGTATTAGGTAGATGGCGAGAATATTTTGAGGAACTTTTAAATGTTGAGGAAGAAAGGGAGGCGGTAATTTCATGCACTGGCCAGGGAGGTATACCATCTTTTAGGAGTGAAGAAGAGCAGAATGTAAGTGTGGTGGAGGTACGTGAGGCATTACGTAGAATGAAAGGGGGTAAAGCAGCTGGAACTGATGGGATCATGACAGAAATGTTAAAAGCAGGGGGGGATATAGTGTTGGAGTGGTTGGTACATTTGTTTAATAAATGTATGAAAGAGGGGAAGGTACCTAGGGATTGGCAGAGAGCATGTATAGTCCCTTTATATAAAGGGAAAGGGGACAAAAGAGATTGTAAAAATTATAGAGGAATAAGTTTACTGAGTATACGGTAGTTATAATTGAAAGACTTAGAGGTAAAACAGAATGTAGAATTGCGGATGAGCAAGGAGGCTTCAGAGTGGGTAGGGGATGTGTAGATCAAGTGTTTACATTGAAGCATATATGTGAACAGTATTTAGATAAAGGTAGGGAAGTTTTTATTGCATTTATGGATTTAGAAAAGGCATATGATAGAGTGGATAGAGGAGCAATGTGGCAGATGTTGCAAGTTTATGGAATAGGTGGTAAGTTACTAAATGCTGTAAAGAGCTTTTATGAGGAAGTGAGGCTCAGGTTAGGGTGTGTAGAAGAGAGGGAGAATACTTCCCGGTAAAAGTAGGTCTTAGACAGGGATGTGTAATGTCACCATGGTTGTTTAATATATTTATAGATGGGGTTGTAAAGGAAGTAAATGCTAGGGTGTTCGGGGAGAGGGGTGGGATTAAATTATGGGGAATCAAATTCAAAATGGGAATCGACACAGTTACTTTTTGCTGATGATACTGTGCTTATGGGAGATTCTAAAGAAAAATTGCAAAGGTTAGTGAATGAGTTTGAGAATGTGTGTAAAGGTAGAAAGTTGAAAGTGAACATAGAAAAGAGTAAGGTGATGAGGGTATCAAATGATTTAGATAAAGAAAAATTGGATATCAAATTGGGGAGGAGGAGTATCGAAGAAGTGAATGTTTTCAGATACTTGGGAGTTGACGTGTCGGAGGATGGATTTATGAAGGATGAGGTTAATCATAGAATTGATGAGGGAAAAAAGGTGAGTGGTGCGTTGAGGTATATGTGGAGTCAAAAAACGTTATCTATGGAGGCAAGAAGGGAATGTATGAAAGTATAGTAGTACCAACACTCTTATATGGATGTGAAGCTGGGTGGTAAATGCAGCAGCGAGGAGACGGTTGGAGGCAGTGGAGATGTCCTGTCTAAGGGCAATGTGTGGTGTAAATATTATGCAGAAAATTCGGAGTGTGGAAATTAGGAGAAGGTGTTGGAGTTAATAAAAGCATTAGTCAGAGGGTAGAAGAGGGGTTGTTGAGGTGGTTTGGTCATTTAGAGAGAATGGATCAAAGTAGAATGACATGGAAAGCATATAAATCTATAGGGGAAGGAAAGAGGGGTAGGGGTCGTCCTCGAAAGGGTTGGAAAAAAGAGGGGTTAAAGGAGGTTTTGTGGGCGAGGGGCTTGGACTTCCAGCAAGCGTGCATGAGCGTGTTTGATAGGAGTGAATGGAGATGAATGATACTTGGGACCTGACGATCTGTTGGAGTGTGAGTAGGGTAATATTTAGTGAAGGGATTCAGGGAAACTGGTTATTTTCATATAGTCGGACTTGAGTCCTGGAAATGGGAACTACAATGCCTGCACTTTAAAGGAGGGGTTTGGGATATTGGCAGTTTGGAGGGATATGTTGTGTATCTTTATACGTATATGCTTCTAAACTGTTGTATTCTGAGCACCTCTGCAAAAGCAGTGATAATGTGTGAGTGTGGTGAAAGTGTTGAATGATGATGAAAGTATTTTCTTTTTGGGGAGTTTCTTTCTTTTTTGGGTCACCCTGCCTCGGTGGGAGACGACCGACTTGTTGAGAAAAAAAAAAAAAAAAAAAATTGATTTCCTTCTAGGTAGTAGGTTGGTAGACAGCAACCACCCAGGAAGGTACTACCATCCTGCCAAGTGAGTGTAAAATGGAAACCTGTAATTGTTTTACATGATGGTAGGATTGCTGGTGTCTTTTTTCTGTATCTTAAACATGCAAGATTTCAGGTACGTCTTGCTACTTCTACTTACACTTAGGTCACACTACACATACATGTACAAGTGTATATATATATATACACACCCCTCTGGGTTTTCTTCTATTTTCTTACTAGTTCTTGTTCTTGTTTATTTCCTCTTATCTCCATGGGGAAGTGGAACAGAATTCTTCCTCCGTAAGCCATGTGTGTCGTAAGAGGCGACTGAAATGCCAGGAGCAAGGGGCTAGTACCCCCTTCTCCTGTATATATTACTAAATTTGAAAGGAGAAACTTTTGTTTTTCCTTTTGGGCCACCCCACCTCGGTGGGATACAGCCGGTGTGCTGAAAGAAAAGAAAGAAAAAGAAAAACTTTCGCTTTTCTTTCTGGGCCACCCTGCCTCAGTGGGATACGGCCAGTTTGTTGAAAGAAGATCTCCATGGGGAAGTGGAATAGAATTCTTCCTCTGTAAGCCATGCGTGTTGCACGAGGCCACCCTGCCTTGGTGGGATATAGCCAGTTTGTTGAAAGAAAGAAAAATATTTATTTCTGCATGATACAATGTTTGTACAGAGATGGGTGACCTTTAGGTGTGCACGCAGAAAGCCCCTTAATATTCTGAGCATTTGGGGCAGATTTAAGCCTGTCTTACTCTTTCATTGTCCACATGCCTAATCTGAGAATTGCTCTCAGTATCCAAGAATTTAAAAAAAAGATCTTTTCTTCTGAAATGATAAAGATTCATTTTCCAAAGGTAATGAAACCAAAAGTAATAAATTTGATGGAAAACTTACGGAATTATGCTTTCACTAAGTTAGCGATCTCAGCGATATTTACACAAGAGCAATTTCGCCCACTTTAAGCCCTATTTTTGGTCATTTACACTGTTTCAGTCAACCAAACTCATAGCTATTTCACTAGTATTCATTCTATTCTATCGAGTCAGTACAAGAAACTGCTCATTTACCAATTTCAACAACCAAATACTGTAAATTTCAAAATAGAGTTTAGAATAAACAATGTAGACATTCCTGGCACTAAAAACATTTTCTCTGTTCATTATTCACATCTCCAGGCCCTCTTATATTATGTTTGCTTTCCATTTTGAATTTTTATTCACAAAAAAATAGAAGATTTACTCCTATGCAGACCACTGCATTATTGTAATAATTGTAAATAATGTTAGTGCATTCCTGAAAGTGTATTAGACTGACAAGTTAGATGTGTACTTTGGAATATCTGAAAAAATCAAGTACTTCCACTAATTTGAGCTCAATTTCAAGCTATTTTCAGCCCTGAAACCAATCAAAATTATCACTATTTCTGCAATATATCTTTTATTCTATCAAATGAGGCCAAGAAATCAAGAATACAACCCTCAAAACAATACGAAAATACACCGCAAAGTTGTTGTTTTTAAAAAAAACAACGGTTGCAGCTTTTTCTCATCATGCACTGCTTGCTGCAGAATTTTTTTTTTTTTAATATGGTGCACACTCCTAGGTAGTAGGTTGGTAGACAGCAACTACCCAGGGAGGTACTACTGTCCTGCCAAGTGAGTGTAAAACTGAAGCCTGTAATTGTTTTACATGATGGTAGGATTGCTGGTGTCTTTTTTCTGTTTCATAAACACGGAAGATTTCAGGTACGTCTTGCTACTTCTACTTACACTTAGGTCACACTGCACATACATGTTTTTTTTTTTTTTTTTTTCAACAAGTCAGCCGTCTCCCGAGGCAGGGTGACCCAAAAAAAAAAGAAAATCCCCAAAAAGAAAATACTTTCATCATCATTCAACACTTTCACCACATATACATATAAAGATACACAACATATCCCTCCAAACTGCCAATATCCCAAACCCCTCCTTTAAAGTGCAGGCATTGTACTTCCCATTTCCAGGACTCAAGTCCGACTATATGAAAATAACATGTACAATACATGTACAAGCATATATATACATACCCCTCTGGGTTTTCTTCTATTTTCTTTCTAGTTCTTGTTCTTGTTTATTTCCTCTTACCTCCATGGGGAAGTGGAATAGAATTCTTCCTCCATAAGCCATGAGTGTTGTAAGAGGCGACTAAAATGCCAGGAGCAAGGGGCTAGTAACCCCTTCTCCTGTATGTATTACTAAATGTAAATGGAGAAACTTTCGTCTTTCCTTTTGGGCCACCCCGCCTCGGTGGGATACGGCCAGTGTGTTGAAAGAAAGAAGATGGTGCACACTTATCACATAGACCCATTCTCTCATATGTAGGTCCAAATTTACCACTCACAGCTTATCTGAGTGAGCTGAGCTCATGGTGTAGTACTACGGCACAGACAGTGACCTCAAACCCATGGTACTATGGCACGGATGGCAAAGTGGTTAAGATTAATGAGGCAATAACTAACTAAATGCTTATTTATACATTCTCTAAGTTGTCACAACAAATTTATGAAATCAAGGAACACAAGAGAACTGATTAGCATATTAATACATTCTATGTAACATTTAGTATATTTTCCATGACCTACCTCTCTCTTTCTTGTATTAATGCATACTTAAAATTGCACCTCACCTCTTGTACATTTAAAAAAAAAAAATCCTACTCAATAACCTGTCTAGTCCTTAAGTACAGTGTACTTTGTAAGTATTAGTATTAGTCTGCCCAAAATGCACATGTTAGTGGCTTTCTTTTGTGCTTAACAATATTTTATTATGTGTAAACTACATTTTGTATACTGCAGAAAAAATAAAGTTTCTTTGTTTTTTATTGTTGTTAAATTTATGGCTAGTTGTGCAAGCACTTGTGAATTTCTTGAAAGAACAGGTACTCAAGAATAACAAAATCCCAAATTATTATTTTTTTTAACATCTATCACCAAGGTAGGTTGACCTGATAAAAAAGAAAACTTTTCCACTGTCACTCGTTCAGTCACTGTCTTGCCAGAAGAATGCTGACATCACAATATGTCAGACACACAGAGAACATTTGCATACTAGTACCTTGAACACACAAACAGCATTTGCATACTAGTACATTGGACACACAGACAGCACTTGCGTACTAGCACATCGGACACAAGGACAGCATCTGTATACTAGTACGTCAGACACAGACAACGTTTCCATACTAGTACATCGGACACACAGACAGTATTTGCATACTAGTACATCGGACACACAGACAGTATTTGCATACTAGTACATCAGACACAGTTTAAGTGTTAAAATATAATTTAGTGAAAAACTGATGCATATAAAACTGTAAAAAAATATTAAAATCAGGTTAGTTTTAAAATTATAATGAAGTGCTTACCAGAACAGGTCCTTTTGTTGATTAAATGAGGATTAAGACCTCGTCTGGCACTTGTTGTGGATGACCGATACTTTGTGGGAGCTGAGGGCAAGACTGTTCTCTGATGGTGGGTTGTAGAGGGCAAGTCTTCCTTGTGATGGTGGGTTGTAGAGGGCAAGTCTTCCTTGTGATGGTGGGTTGTAGAGGGCAAGTCTTCCTTGTGATGGTGGGTTGTAGAGGGCAAGTCTTCCTTGTGATGGTGGGTTGTAGAGGGCAAGTCTTCCTTGTGATGGTGGGTTGTAGAGGGCAAGTCTTCCTTGTGATGGTGGGTTGTAGAGGGCAAGTCTTCCTTGTGATGGTGGGTTGTAGAGGGCAAGTCTTCCTTGTGATGGTGGGTTGTAGAGGGCAAGTCTTCCTTGTGATGGTGGGTTGTAGAAGGCAAGATAACCTTCTGATCGTGGGCTTTCTGGGAAAAAAAAATCAATATCATTTCTCTTTTATGTAGTAACATACATTAAAAATATATAATTAGGAAGGAAGTAAACAAAAAGAAAAACAAAAGTTTTTCTTTTTAAATTTAGTAATTTATAGAGAAGTGGTAACTAGCCCCTTACTTCCAGCATTTTAGTTCTCTTGTGAAACACATAACTTACTGAGGAAGAATTGTATTCCACTTCACCATAGAGATAAGAGGAAATAAAGAAGAATAAGACCTATTGTGATTATGTATGAGTGAGATGAAAGTGTTGAATGATGATGGAAGTATTTTCTTTTTGGGTCACCCTGCCTCAGTGGGAGACAGCCAACTTGTTGAAAAAAAAAAAATGAAACTATTAAGAATATAGAAGAAAACCCAGATGGGTGTGAATATAGATGCATGTACATACATGTGAGTGTGACCTAAGTGTAAGTAGAAGTAGCAAGATATACCTGCTATCCTGTGTGTTTATGAAACAGACAAAAGACACCAGCAATCCTACCATCATGTAAAACAATTACAAGTTTCTGTTTCACACTCACTTGGCAGGATGACAGTACCTCCCTGGGTGGTTGCTGTCTATCAACCTACTACCACAGGACAGTAGTACCTCCCTGGGTGGTTGCTGTCTATCAACCTACTACCACAGGACAGTAGTACCTCCCTGGGTGGTTGCTGTCTATCAACCTACTACCACAGGACAGTAGTACCTCCCTGGGTGGTTGCTGTCTATCAACCTACTACCACAGGACAGTAGTACCTCCCTGGGTGGTTGCTGTCTATCAACCTACTACCACAGGACAGTAGTACTGCGGGGTTGTTTGTAACCAAGGTTGTTAAACCGGGTATTTAAGGATTCGGCGTATGTTGCTGTGAACAGGTTTTTTGTTAAGAGTTCATGATATTTGCGTGAGCCAGTAATGTTTGACAGGGTATGTTGCTGTGAGCCAGGTATGTTGCTGTGAGTCAGGGTTGCTGTGAGGTAAGTATTGAGGGATGGTATAGTGGTCTGTGACCGTAGCTGTAGCAGGGGTTTCGACTAGTGTTTTGGGTAGCCAGTAACGGAAATATTTACCGATTTGTTGCTTTGACGATTTGGGTTTCCCAATTTTATAAACCGGTTATGTTCTTTTAAGGTGTACCACTATTCTTGTAATTTGTTATGTTACCCTGTTAACTCCCATGTTTGGGCGGTTTGCTGTGACAATGCATGTCGGTTAGTTAGTAAATAATTAATGTTTTCCGCCCGTGGCAATATGTAATCATTTTGAAATGTGAGGGTTATGTTTGGGGAAAAATTTCCCAAATCCATGTAAGCCATTTACTTCCGAGTTCATTTAAAAAGTACGGGTATTATATTTTGCTGTCATCCAGATATCCCATGTGGGGAAAAATGTCGTTTTTGACTATACTAGAGCAGTGTTTGAAATATATAAGTACCCGTGGATCAAGCAAAAAATAAATATTAAATGGGTGTACTGTTTTAGTTGAAATGAAACTCGTACCTTAAATTTTACAGGGGAAAGGTCTTTTTACCCCAAAAGGGGAAAAACTTTGTCATTTCGTGGGAAATTTTCCAAATCACTACTTACCAATAATGTCCAAATGGAAAGGGTCTGTATAGTTCATGAATTATTTTATGTTAATAAAACCCAAATGAGCTTAGGTTAAAAAATTGAGGTATTTGTAGAATTATTTTATGCAAGTTTTAAGGGATTCATGATTAAGAAATGGTTTTTTAGTTTGTGTACGATTGGCTTTCCAATGGCGGAATTTTTTTGGGTTGCCAAAATGAATAATTCCATATGAAGGGATGTTCAAAATTACAAAGGGGTTGTTGGCCGGATAGGAAATTGAGTCGGGGTTTCCTGCTTGATCAGGTATGTTCTGTGAGCAGTGTAATTGCTATGAGTCAGGAAAGTTCGGTGAGCCAGTGTACATTGTAGAGTCAGGGTATGTTGGGTGAGCCAGTGTAATGCATGAGCATGGTATGTTGCTGTGACCCAGTGTACATTGTTATGAGTCAGGGTATGTTGTTGTGGCCAGTGTACTTGCTAGAGCAGGGTATGTTGGGTGGCCAGTGAAACTTTGCTATGGAGTCGGTTGTTGTGTGACCAGTGTACATTGCTATGATTCAGGTATGTTCTGGAGCCAGTGACATGGCTATGAGTCAGGGATGTTACTGTGAGCAGTGTACATTGCTATGAGTCAGGTATGTTGGCGTGAGCCGTGTACATTGCTAGAGTCAGGTATGTTCTGTGACCCAGTGTAAATTCTATGACAGGGTTGTTAACGTGAGCCAGTGTACATTGCTATGAGTCAGGGTATGTTACTGTGAGCCAGTGTACATTGCTATGAGTCAGGGTATGTTGCTGTGAGCCAGTGTACATTGCTATGAGTCAGGGTATGTTACTGTGAGCCAGTGTACATTGCTATGAGTCAGGGTATGTTAACGTGAGCCAGTGTACATTGCTGTGAGTCAGGGTATGTTGCTGTGAGCCAGTGTACATTGTTATGAGTCAGGGTATGTTGTTGTGAGCCAGTGTACATTGCTATGAGTCAGGGTATGTTACTGTGAGCCAGGGTATGTTACTGTGAGCCAGGGTATGTTACTGTGAGCCAGTGTACATTGCTATGAGTCAGGGTATGTTACTGTGAGCCAGGGTATGTTACTGTGAGCCAGTGTACATTGTTATGAGTCAGGGTATGTTGTTGTGAGCCAGTGTACATTGCTATGAGTCAGGGTATGTTGTGGTGAGCCAGTGTACATTGTTATGAGTCAGGGTATGTTGTTGTGAGCCAGTGTACATTGCTATGAGTCAGGGTATGTTGCGGTGAGCCAGTGTACATTGCTATGAGTCAGGTATGTTGCGGTGAGCAGTGTACATTGCTAGAGTCCAGGCATGTTGCGTGAGCAGTGTACATGCTATGAGTAAAGGGTATGTTGGTGAGCCAGTGTACATTGCTATGAGTCAAGGATATGTTGGGTGAGCCAGTGTACATTGCTATGAGTCAGGGTATGTTGCGGTGAGCCAGTGTACATTGCTATGAGTCAGGGTATGTTGCTGTGAGCCAGTGTACATGCTATGAGTCAGGGTATGATTGCTGTGAGCAGTGTACATTGCTATGAGTCAGGGTATGTTGCGAGTGAGCCAGTGTACATTTGCTATGAGTCAGGGCATGTTGCTGTGAGCCAGTGTACATTGCTATGAGTAAAGGGTATGTTGCAGTGAGCCAGTGTACATTGCTATAGTCGGGCATGTTGCGTTTGACAGTGTACATTGCTATGAAGTCAGGGTATGTTCGGTGGCCAGTGTACATTGCTATGAGTCAGGGATGTTGCTGGAGCCAGTGTACATTGCTATGAGTCAGGTATGTTACTGTGGCCAGTGTACATTGTATGATCAGGGTATGTTACGTGAGCCAGTGTACATTGCTGTGAGGTAGGTTGTGTCTAGCCAACATTGTTATGAGTCAGGGTATGTTGTTTGTGAGCCAGTGTACATTGCTATGAGTCAGGGTATGTTAGACTGTGAGCAGGGTTGTATCTGTAGCCAGGGATGTTACTGTGACCAGTGTACATTGCTATGGTAGGGTTGTTCTGAGCCAGGGTATGTTACGTGAGCAGTGTAACTTGTTGAGTGGGTTGTTGTTGTGACCAGTGTACATTGCTAGAGTCAGGGTATGTTGTGGTGACAGTGTACATTGTTATGAGTCAGGGTTGTTGTTGTGAGCCAGTGTACATTGTATGATTTCAGGTTTATGTTGCTGGTGATCCAGTGTACATTGCTATGAGTCAGGGTATGTTGCGGTGAGCCAGTGTATCTTGCTTTGAGTCAGGGTATGTTGCTGTGAGCCAGTGACATTGCTATGAGTCAGGGTATGTTGCGGTTGAGCCAGTGTACATTGCTATGAGTCAGGGATATGTTGCGGTGAGCCAGTGTACATTGCTATGAGTCAGGGTATGTTGCGGTGAGCCAGTGTACATTGCTATGAGTCAGGGTATGTTGCTGTGAGCCAGTGTACATTGCTATGAGTCAGGGTATGTTGTGTGAGCCAGTGTACATTTGCTATGAGTGGGTTGTTGCGGTGAGCCAGTGTACATTGCTATGAGTCAGGGCATGTTGCTGTGAGCCAGTGTACATTGCTATGAGTCAGGGTATGTTGCTGTGAGCCAGTGTACATTGCTATGAGTCAGGGCATGTTGCTGTGAGCCAGTGTACATTGCTATGAGTCAGGGTATGTTGCGGTGAGCCAGTGTACATTGCTATGAGTCAGGGTATGTTGCTGTGAGCCAGTGTACATTGCTGTGAGCCAGGGTATGTTGCTGTGAGCCAGTGTACATTGCTATGAGTCAGGGCATGTTGCAGTGAGCCAGTGTACATTGCTATGAGTCAGGGTATGTTGCTGTGAGCCAGTGTACATTGCTGTGAGCCAGGGTATGTTCGTGAGCCAGTGTACATGCTTGGGGTGAGGCCAGGGTATGTTGCTGTGAGCCAGTGTACATTGTTTATGAGTCAGGGATGTTGCGGGTGAGCCAGTGTACATTGCTACTGAGCAGTTACTTGCTGTGAGCCAGGGTATGTTGCCATGAGCCAGGGTATGTTGCTGTGAGCCAGTGTACATTGCTATGAGTCAGGGTATGTTGTGGTGAGCCAGTGTACATTGCTGTGAGTCAGGGTATGTTGTGGTGAGCCAGTGTACATTGCTATGAGTCAGGGCATGTTGCTGTGAGCCAGTGTACATTGCTATGATCAGGGTATTTTGTTGTGAGCCAGTGTACATTGCTATGAGTCAGGGTATGTTGCGGTGAGCCAGTGTACATTGCTATGAGTCAGGGTATGTTGCGGTGAGCCAGTGTACATTGCTATGAGTCAGGGTATGTTGTGGTGAGCCAGTGTACATTGCTATGAGTCAGGGTATGTTGCTGTGAGCCAGTGTACATTGCTATGAGTCAGGGTATGTTGCGGTGAGCCAGTGGTACATTG